GTTTGGTCAATAGTTATGTTGTGTCTGTGAGCTAGTCGGGTGATTTAGGAGCTTGATGGAATTCATTCTATCACGTTGGTAGTTTAGTTACTTGAGTGGGAAAAACTCTAAGGAAGAAGACAGGACACAGGTGAAGATCGCTATATTGTAGAACCAGTGGAAGAAAGGGCGCTGCGGCTCACTTGGCTACAATAGAGAGAAGTGGATTCTCAGTGAAATATTGCAAAGATTGTTCGTTGTCACTTGACCCTAGCTCGAGTAAAACCGTTATACCTACAACTAACAATACTCAAACCACATCGTCCCTCGTGTGGTGTCACCAACCGGATCGCCTTGCTGTGTACAGGAGAGTGGACAAGCGAAAACATGCTGTTGCTGGCGCCTTCCTTCTTAGACGTTTACTTATTCACCCTCCTACCGTACTCCACCCCAATTTGTATACTTGCTACGAAGGTCTCGCTACTAGGAATGGCCGCATTGTTCACAATGCACCACGCTCGGGTGCAGCTTCTGTGTGTCCGATTTCAGTAGCAACTCTAAACAATTCAAAGTTTGTTTCCAAACCCCGAATGACAGTTTCCATAGTTACTTTTAGTGTTCTTAGACTGAAGTAAGTGGGACCACAACTGTCTCTTGCTCGTACGTTGGATTTTTTCTGAATTGATGTATGTCGTCCGTCGGAAACAAGAATGGAGGATGCAAATACTGTGATTTAACGGACTGCCCCTCGCTCTCCCAAAATCCGGCTATGCATTTCTAGTGATGCAGGGGGCCGCTGCAGCTGGATATGACGCGGTGGGTATTGTATTGGGCGACAGAGCGGAAGTGTCTGGTTGTTTCGATACCCATTTAGTAGAGGCCTCTGCACGGTTCTTACGTTGACGTCTGTAAGAGACTAAAAGCTACTGAGGTCCAATCGGGTAGTTGTCTTGGGTTACACATGAGACGCACGGACAGCGGAAAACGTCTACTTCAGATGTGCGCCGATCACAGACTTCCTTGGCAGTACCGATTTGCGGAACAGCAGAAATTACCCGGTGAAGTGGTACGCACCAAAGAACCAGTCCCAAATCCAAATAGACCACACTACCGTCAGTTACCGGTGGCGAGGGTCTTCTACCTCCTACTGCTCCTTCTGGAATACCAGTGTGGACCCCAACCATGCAGCTGTGCGCTGCTACGTTTCGTTGCACCTTCCCGGTCTTCGTGAAACGCACAGACGCTTAGCCTTTGAGATACTTGTGAACCCAGGAATCAAATAAAACTTCGAGAACCGCTCCGCGGACGTGTGGCTAGCGTTCCTGCGTTGGATATAAATACCCACCGGGAACAGATGTGCAAAGCGCTACTCAGAGCCGGAACTTCCCTTCGCCCTACAACTCAGCCATCCTGATCCACACATTGGACTTCAGGTAGGACCATAAATTTGTCGGGGACTCGGTAACAGATTCTCCTGGCCACAAGCACAACTCAACTTGACGCATCATTCGACGTCAGGTGGAACTGAGTGTCTGCGCAAACCGCGAAGCTTGATGGATCTGAAAGGCCAAAGCTATGAAAGGCGCAAAAATGCGGGAAACGCTCGCAAGCTGCTCCTCTCGGTTCGTTTGACTGGTCCTCGGAAGCCTCTTGTCAGCCAAACTATCAGAGACCAGAATGGCTTTCTGATGTCCGGCAAAGGACAACTTTTGGACCGGTTGGAACAGTGCATTGAACAGCAATTCAGTTGACCGCCTGCTACATCCACTCCGGAATCCTGGCCTTCAACAGAGAGGTGGACTGTGAATATGGTGCCGCTTTCAACCTCATAAGTGTCCGAGTGTATACCTTTACCCAGGTGTCATAATGCTTCTGGCCCTAATGACCTTCCACCTGCTCTGTTCAAGTATGGTGATGAATTCCTCGGTCACAGCCTGTCTAGCCTATCTGGGTCTACCTGGGAGAGATAGTCCTTCCCGAACGACTGGGGTGAATCGATAATAGTGCCCCTTTTCGAGAAGAGTATTCGCAGTGGATGTATTAATCACAGGGGTGTTAGTTTGACTCGTGTGGTGACAGGCCTTCTAGCGTCACCGATTCTTCATTGCCTTACGATGGCATGCGAAGCTTTGACTCGGGAAAATCAAGCGGGATTTCGACTATGTAGAGTTGCGTCGGCCACATCTTCACACTTCGTCAAGTGTCAGAGTAACATCACATGTACGGAAGATCTACAATCTTGATGTTCCTTTGCTGCAAGGGTGCGGTCGATTGTCGATCGGTCAGTGCTGTCAATCAAACTTGCTCAACAGGGTATACCTCAGAAGTTTGCAAACGTAATCTGGCCCCTATATTCACCTACTTCTGGGCGTGGTGCTCGACAAAAATATCCACAAAAATATCCATTCTTGTTCAGCTTCAGCATTGATGAAATAATGAGGCGAGCACTGGAGCGACTTCAATACCCCGATGTTCCAATTATCGCTGGTGAGAACCTTGTTGGTGCAGAGTACGCAAACAACATTGCCGTCATCTTTGAAGATCAAGGCGAAGCATAAGCCCTGTTGCATAGACTGACCACCGTGATGCCACCTTTCAGCGTGCGCCTTGCACCTCCAGGGTGCAAACTTATGCTTCAGAACATACCCCTTACAATTCAGGGAGAACTACTGGAGGTTGTGGAGAACTTATCATATCTCGGTGGTTGTATTAGCTCCGATGGAAGTTTGATGAAATGGATGAACGAATCTCGAAGTCCAGAATCACGTATGAGTCACTTGTGGCATCAAAAAGCATATCGCTGGGTCTCAAGAGTGTACCAGGCTACAATAATGGCTGTGTTGTTGTATGGCTGGGAGATGTGACCTCTGCGGACAGGTGATGTGAGGGGTCTTCGAATTTTCGATCACCGATCCTTCCAAAGCGTTTCTGATATAAACTAGCGTCAACAGATTACTAAGGAAGTAGTTAAAAAACGGGTATTTGGTTGTGCGACAAATAGTTGAATAGCGGAGAACGTCCAGCACCATCGACCACAGTGGCTCGGCCATGGTTCACTCATGCCAGAACACCGTCTACTGAGAGGTGTTTTTTTTTGCGTGAGTCTCTCAGAGTGGCGGAATCTGGGAGTTGGACAACGTGTAATTTACCGGAACGACTTCAAACGTTACGACGAATTTTTTTTTGTGTGTGCAGTACTTCTAGGATGATGCCCCCGCCTGTGATTGACTGATCGATGTCAACGGCGTTCCGGAATTTCTTATTGAACTCTGGGAAGTGTAGATACCTGAGAACGCTACTGATGTGTCAGCTGCAGATCGCCTCCCTCCCTCTTTTCTCCTTCCATTCAAAGGCTTTAGATATAATTAAATAAATTATAGTTGTACGGCAGTGAAGATCAGTGTCAACACTGATTTCACCGTATTTGATGATGATGATTTTGAAGGAGTCTTTCTCGTATTTATTGACGTCGCCGCGTTCGACAATACAGAGGATAATGGACTGAAGTTTTACTGTTGCATACAGGAGTTGTACTGCATACGGTTCTTGTTCTGTTTTGCCTAACGGCTAGTCACGAATTTCGGACACCTGAGCAGCCGGGACAGCCGAAGGCATGTTGTCTGTAGGGAATGGTGGGATGTAAGAAGTTTTATGGCTGTTCCGTGTTGCTACGTAATCTCGTGGATTCGGCGTGAGCAGTATCTTCATCACTATTTGTGCACTACTACGGCTTTTGTAGAGCTGATTATGACACGCACAACAATAAAGGGATTGTGTTTGTCTATTGAATAGCCTGGTGATAGCAACTACTGACTTCTCTTAAGTCTCACTAGGATTCAATCAGTTACCAACGGGACCTGTGGTCGAGGAGAGTCACTGAACGAAAATCAACGCATGAGAACCGTTGTACAATTCTATTCTGTCCTACCCATAGCTATTACATGATATCAAGGGATTTGGTCGACCCTGAGTGGTAAAGTTCAGCCACACCTACCAGAGCCCAGGACTGAATTTTAGTTCATTCTGTTTCTACCTGTACTTGACATTTTTAAGACGTGTCGAATACCCTTGTGCTCATTATCAATTAACACCAAAGCGCTTTGATTAGTTGGAGAACGCCAACGTCTATTCCACAACAGAAGTCCTGTATATGACTAACTCACTACCCTTACGGTCATACTAGTTGGATCTTTCGCGCCCCTCGACAGTGCAGTTGTACCCAGGGATCCTTGTCTATTATGTATCTGAAAATGTGATTCCTTCCCACAGGGCTGTCGACCTGACTGGCAAGTACCTTAATTTAAACACCATATTCGGATTTCATTTGGTCACTCTTGTCTTGTGACCGAGCAAGATAATACTTGAAAGTGAATGTGCAGTCTGTTGGTTAGGAATACTCAACAATTCATTCGTGCTTGTGTGGATATGGTAGTTCTGGCAGCATTTCGGCTCCATGACAGGTTTGTTTGAAAAGAACGACATATCCCAATGAGTCCAGTTGAGAGTATACTGAGCACAATGTACTGATAAACACTCAATGGAAACTTTATTTGTCGGTCATTTCGTGATTTGGATGGTGTCTCTAGTACCATTTGACTGCTTTCAGATAACCCGGCATCTCTGTATTTCTGTCTTTCAGACAGAACAAGTTTGTTTTACGCTAGAATGCCTTGATATGGATATGCCAGTGGTACATTCTTGTCTTTGTTTTCATACGATTTGGTCGCGTTTCTACCACAATAGGTACTTTTATAGGGAATGTCTTTGTGCTGTTCAATTTCCAACATGATGAGAGAATGGTTACCGAGAACCTCTGAACAGTGAACATTGCAAACGACTCGTTGATGAATGATCATCATCATCAGGTTGCGTACAGGCGGTCGGCCAATGCTTGCTAGCAATTACAGTACCTCCACATAGCAGTATCCTATTTTCCCCTCATGCATTACATCGTCGTGGCGCCCGCCGATTTTCCTGCGATGTGATTTCGATATCTTTTCGTTTCCTCTCCCCAAATTCAGGCTATCCATAGGAAGACAATGGAGCCCGTGGCCGTCAAGATAATGAAAATTGACCTAAAAGATGACATACGATCCATATGCCAAGAAATCCACACCCTCAGAGAGTGCCGACATCCGAATATCGTGCAGTTCTATGGAAGCTACTTGCGGTAGGCTTCTCCATCCTTTGACTGAAATGTGTCCTCTTTCTAGAAACAACAAACTGTGGATCTGTATGGAATATTGTGGTGGACAATCTATGCAAGACATTTATTTGTGTAAGTTCTTTTTCTGGCGTCCCAATGAATTTTTCCACCCCGATCAGACACACGGAAACCCTTGGAGGAAGATTGCATTGCCTTTGTCTCCCGTGAAACACTACAAGGCCTCAGTTTTATGCATGAAAGAGGACGAATCCATCGTGATATCAAGGTGTCAATTGCATTTGGTTAGCCTAATTTCCATGCTTTCAGGGTGCCAATATTCTACTCACAGATGATGGGCGTGTCAAAGTAGGTAAGTGATTTGAACTTTTCGAGCGCTTGTATTCCTGCCTTCTTTTTTCTAAATCTTCAGCTGATTTTGGGGTCGCTGCACAGCTGAACAACACTATTGGGAAACGGACTACTTTAATTGGTACGCCGTACTGGTGAGTCCTAATGTTAGTTTCACTTCACTTTTGTTAGTGGGTCTACGCATACATCCTCTTAGCACATTGTTACTACGTCCGACATTCTTTTAAATCTAGAGAGACCGCACCCTTGGTAGTGCTTATTTTATGCCTGTTTGTTTCGTCAACTACTGGCTTTGCGATTTCTTCGAAAAATTCCTGCTACTGTCAGTCCTAGAAATTCGTCCTCGTTTGCGCCCTACGTTCACGAACGCTATCGTTTGGATCTGTAGTTTACATGTGCCACAGTGCATGCGAGATTCTTTGCTTCTTTCCACCACTGGGCGTTTTTTTGCTTCGTGGTCATACATCTTATTGATGTCCGAGGCAACCGAATTTCCTTTGAGCCTCCTTAAGTCAGGCCAGACAGATCACGTGATTTGTTGTTCCGTTTAAACATGCCTGTGGAGTGAGTCATGTGGCGGTTTCATTATTGTCTTCCACAGCCACATGCTCTTCAGATTTTCTAGTTTGTGGAGGGTGATCTTTAACAGAATGTTCCACTGTGTTTCTTATGCCGCCGTTACGTAACTGAAGGAATTAGTCCAGTCAACAAATTTATCATTTCAAATACGAAACTCCCTCCAAAGCAAGATCGCTACGAGGGATTACATACTGATTAAAGAAGCTTCATGGTTGATGAGGAGCACTGTTTTTGTCTGGTGACCTTTCTTCTGAAGGATTCATCTCACTAGTTTATTAGTTTTATTTGTTTTTGTTCGCCCTTTTTTTGCTTATACAAATCGCGCCCACCGCGAATGGGTAGAAGCACCACCATCATCGTCAACAGCACAACATAAGTGTTCAACAACCATAATTTATTGGAAGGCATTGTTACGAGGAAAGTAACAGAAGTGGATTTGGAAGATGGTGCTAGCATATCACAATCATTCAGATGTAGCTCCACCTTTAGACACTTATTTACTTAATCGGGACAGCAACTGACAATAAGAACACAACTGACATCTATTAGCACTCCATATCTTGCGGCCTGTCCAACCAGACATAATGTGGACCACGTGGTTCCCATCCTGGAAAGCGAGTAGCACGGACAGCATGCATACTTTTCGTAATCACTTTCATGCCCTTCTATCAAATCAAAGGCTGGCTACCCCTCCTGTCTTCGCTCTTAATTAGACACGGAAAACAATACTTTTTGATAACGATGGTTCGGCATACACAATACATGGACTAATGGCAGCAGCTTCTGGTGAGGACACACGTCGATGGAATTACTTGTTGAACAACCTAACGATCGCTTTCTGATTGTCCTGTTGCAGATTTTCCGGCAGTAGCCTATACGACCTATGGTTCTGGGACAACAGTTGTTGTGGACGTGAAGACGTCTCGGTTCCGCCGCTCGAAGCGTATACGTTTCACATCGTACTTGTTGAACAACCTAACGATCGCTTTCCGATTGTCCTGTTGCAGATTTTCCGGCACTAGCCTATACGACCTATGTGGACGTGAAGACGTCTCGAAGCGTATACGTTTCACATCCGTACACCAAAACGTCCCGAATTGTAGCCTGATCGGAAACAGTCTACTTTGAAATTCTGCTTCCGTGCTATACGTATGATATCGCTCCTTCAAGCCCATCAGAGCGTCTAATCGCGAACGTTCGTAATCCGGTGTTGTGCTTGGATACCACCGAGACATCCATGCAACCAGGGACCGTCGTTGTACCAACCTCCGCATAATTGTGTGTCGGTCACTGTGAGGCACATGTTAAGTTTTAGTCCCCCTATCGCCGGTAATTTTATCGGTGTTGTGCTTGGATACCACCGAGACATCCATGCAACCAGGGACCGTCGTTGTACCAACCTCCGCATAATTGTGTGTCGGTCACTGTGAGGCACATGTTAAGTTTTAGTCCCCCTATCGCCGGTAATCTTATCGCAGCGAAGTATAAAAGCCATTACCAACAAACCCAGCTGCGCTGGTCATTGCCGTCTTCCTGGATGTGGACCCCGAGGGGGGCCATATCAATGGCTAGACACATTGTCAAACATGTCCCAGTCGCGCCCTCAATGGCGCTCATGCATCCAAGCTATTGCCTTCAATGCGTAGCTCCCTTCCCAACCCCCCACTTAACAGTCCACCTACAGTGCTGTATTCACCCACTAATCTAGGAGCTCCCGCCTCCAGTGCGCAGCTACTTACCGTGGTAGCTATAACCACTGTACGACAAGTACGCGGTTATTACAGCTGACAATGATGATGTTGATGATGAACCCCACCCGGTTTACCCTGATATTACTGACATTTCTTTGCTGCAGTCTACACCACTGGCACCGTACACTGCGCTGGAGGAATGAACAGCACTGGGCATTTCCCATTCCTTTCATAGTCAACTGCGAAAATAGACAGCTGAGTGCTCGTTTGCCGAGACCAAGCTTGCTTTTCTAGTTCACTGGTCGGAAGAATCAATCTGGTGGAGTAATTATTCCCGAAGATGGACTTCTTGATTGCTCTTACAGAACATAGTCCTCTATATGTCTTTTTAACCGGATTACTCAACACCACACAGGCGCAACCGATATTTCTCAATGCATCCTCCCGATCACCACTCAACTTGTTCTGATTTCCGGTCGCCTTCCTATAAGGGACCACAATGTGGCCACAGAAACATTGGTCTTGCGTGAAAGATTCCAGGGGGGGGGCGAGATGGACCAAGTGGTTAGAGCGCGAATTTACTGAACGAAGGTCCTTGGTTCGAACCCGACCTCCGCCTCTCGACTTCCCCTCTCTAGGCTTGGCAGTATCCCAGCCCTCGTGCCTCCGTGTGGCATGGCAGCTAGGCACCAAAAGGGTGCTACAGCTGAATGAAAGACTCCAGAGGGACACTTCAAAATGTTTTCATATTGCTGTTGGAGAAATCGTCGGGAGACAATGTATTTGGACAGTGCTGCCTAACCAGTGACCCGAGTTTCTTTTTCTATGGTGATCGTTACATAGCCATTTACATTTTGTCTTTCAGTTTATCAGCGTGAAAGCTCTATACTACTTCTATGTGTGTTATTCTATTTGCTCGATCTGCATACACTTCTGATATCTCATTTTGCACGACCTTGTCTGGTTCGTGTCTGTTGCTTTCCGAACTTTTTATTTGTGCTGGCTAATTTTTTCCTATTTCAAAGGATGGCTCCTGAAGTTGCTTCCATTGAGTCTCGCGGGGCTGGGTACGATGGCAAATGTGACGTTTGGGGCGTTGGGATCACCGCTATCGAATATGCAGAGTTGCAACCACCTATGTTTGACCTCGACCCTAGAAAGTGAGTCACTGCTTCGTACTCTTTGTTTTGTTATTGACGCTCCTCAATCAACGGTAATTTTAACGGCCAACCGACATTTCATCGAATGCATGATTGCTTTTGATCGTTCATTTTACCGCTACCGTTGCTCACGGCAACTCCGTGTGAACATCGGTGCCTCATTCTCCGACAGTTGTGTCAATTCACCGGATGAGAATACACGGATATAAGGGGAACCATGTGCCTTCTTTTGTCGGTGCATGGTCTAACTTTTTTCCTTTCCATCAGATCTTGGTCCCAATTTTACTTTTTTTTTCGGCGCCGTTGGTACACAGAGCCCAAGATGAAACCAGCGCTTAGCAAGTTGAAAACACCACAGACAATCAATGTTACAAATTTGAGAAGCCGTCCTCCAGTCAATCACCTGAGTTTTTACTGAAGGTGAACTTGGACCTCGACTTTCCATTAAGCAACACTCAATTTTAGTCAGTACTTCAAACAAAGACTGACCGACTCCAAGCACCACCGAGCCAATCAGATAATAAACCATTCACTAGTGAACAACTCTGAACACCCAGTAGAATGCGCAAAGACGTCGCTCTTTGTAAGCTAATAAATCTGTATGGTTTTGCTATAATAAACTGAGATTTCACTGGAGCCAAGCGAGTCGTTTATGGTCGGTTTTCACGAACCCAAAAGGTATCTCACAGGCCGGCTGTAAAACTCTGTCTACCACAATATTTATTCCCGTGACCGCTTAAATAAAATAAAGTACCACGAAAGTATTGTACCTTGGTGTCTCTCCTTGATCAGATGTAATAATAAGTGCGAGTGACGGTTCCTTCACTTGACAACAAATATACAAACGACCTAATAAGTGTTCTGTACAAGAAGAGAACATTAGGATGTGTTCTAAAGGACTGTTCTAGAGACTGTTTTTAGTTGCCAAGATCCCGAATGTTCGTTCCACCTTGGAGTAGGTCACTGGCGCCTTGTACTCTCATCTGGCAGACAACACCAGCCAATACCCAACTAGCGGTTTTGTGTTGCTTGGTCCCTCAAATAAGCGTGTTTCACTGGGACATTGTTCAGTGAAAGTTTTCGACATTTCGTGCTTGCACTCCAACTCTTTGTAGCTTAGTTCAGGAGAGCTCGTCCAATCGGGATCCTTTCAGGTTATTTGGTGCTCCCTTTCTGAAAGAGCATATCATTTTCTTAACTGCTTGTTTGAACCAAGCGATGCATCCCACGAACCTGACACTAAAAGTTGCTTTTCTGCGGAGCAGCTGACTGTTGACGGCGACGTGACGTGAGATGCTTTTGAAGTGAAACGGAGACCATATCATGTTGTGGATTATTAATGTTACTGATCTCTTGTGCTGGATTGTCTGTTGATCAAGGCAATCAAAAACTCTGATACGATTTACGTGCAACGTTCTGACTCGATATTTTTTGCGTTTACAACCTCCCTATTCCTCAATCTGCTCTGTCAGGTGTCTCCAGTAAAACGCCATTTCTTTCTCTTGAATTCCTCTACAGGGCACTTCAAATCCTCGGATCTCGAAACTATCGATCTCCCAGTCTTCAGGATCGTCACAAGTGGTGTGTTTGCTGTTTGTTGCTGTTGTCAAATACTTTCGAAGCAATTTATTATCAGTTTCCAGCTTGTCACGTTTTTCACCAATGTGCACAGTGTATTGACCTCTCACAGACCTGGTTTCGATCAACTTAACGGGACAGGCGGTGTCGCATCGAGACATGCCATAAAGCACGGATAACAACAGTGTGTTTTCCGCTATTTGACTATGCATTTTGTGCATCACTTCCACCCAGCGTTGCACACGGCTGATCGCTTGGAACTGAGCCCTCCAGGCACCATTACTTTTTTTGCTCTATGTGCTCAAACCTGCACCAGTCATCAAACCGAGGTCTCATTTTTGTTGGTTGGTTCAACCCAATGACAACTTTGGTTCTAGCTGTAACTAACCTGTTATCCACAGTTATGCAACCTTCGACAAGCAAAATATCCTCTTTTGAAACCATCTTTCCCACACTTTGGATCAGGGAGTTGATCTTCTAATGGAACGTTGGCTCAGCCAGATCACACTGTCCAGAAGGAAGAGCAGTCCGTCTTGTTTGTTTACTCAGCCTCACATTGGTCTGCCAATTATCCGGACTGGCGGATTATTTCTCACAAGGTGACGTGAAGGACGTCTTTTGCACAGGGATTCTGCAATGCGCTTTTCGGTCACCTAGGTTGGAAACAGCTTATGTCTACAAACGAAATCTGCTTATCAAGGGATGGCCATTGGCTTGTTCGCTGAGCTGGACAATTTGGTTGCAAGCGTTTCATCACCAGTGAGGTTGATGTCAATAATGCGTTGTGGGTGGAATTTCGTTGAGTCTTCTTCCAACCTCAAATCAAGTGCCATCCTTACAACCTGAGCTACCTTTATTCTCTTCAAATACTACTTACCAGTTCCCTACCTATAGAGCTGCTGAATGAAATTTCTGTCGACGAGCAATAGTCCCTTTGAAAGTGACTATCCCACACAATAAAGCTGTCACACGTCAATCAAGCTAGTAAGAGCGGAGTGTCCTCCATCAAATATACTATGTAGCGGTGATACATATTCATTTGGCATATCCATTTGGTCAAATGGGGCAACTGCTTTGCTTTGAGACAAAGAGGAAACACTTGGTAGCCGTGAGTATGGGCCAGTTGGAGGAAGATTAAAGCTTTTTCAACTGAATTACAGGACTCCGAAACCCAAACCTTTGCACAATCAGGGCAGAATAAAGTCCGGCTATTTGAACTGCCTTACAACTTATCGCTATGTAGGCATTTATTAATGATCAAACACTCTGTCGAGGCAGACCTCGACAGCTAACGTAACCAAGTGGACTTCATTTTGGGGTCGTGAGTGTGTGAACCAAGTCTTCTGGCCTCGTAACACATACCAACGGTCCATGCTGCTGTTTCACAGAAGAGCCGACAGCGGCAACAATGATAGTATCGTGATTCATGCTATTTTCTAGTTCCACTTTTTCCTTCCGTCGAATTACACTCTAATCAGTAAGCAGCAGCCTTTGTTGTAATCTGGTCAGTACAAGTTTTACTTACTAACTCATCTTGCTGGTTTATCATCATTTTTATGAACAGGCGGTCCGGAGTCGTCGTACAATGGTGCATAGACCGATGATATAGAAGACGATTAACTACTGACGGATGTTCCGTTCCTTAGTTGGGTGCCATGAACTGTTAGCTCGCAGTCGAATTCGTTGGAGTTTGCAATGTTGTTAATTTGCCGTTAAATCGGCGATAGTCTTCTATAAAGGAACGTTAATTCTTTTTCAACATCGTGAATGGGTTGTTGCCACTTTACTGGATGGCCACTTTTTCCCCCATAAATTTTTGTCTTTAAGGTGCAGCAGTGACCATGGAGTTGTTTGTGATAGCCCATTTCGCAGTCCACAATCCACTGCCTCTTACAACGAATTTTGAACGTGAATGTCATGTCGTGCACGACAATTGTGCAAAGGTTCTTACAAACTTTTCACCACTTGCTTCCATTGCAAGTACTTACATTTGAAAATCGGGACCAATTGCGATTCATAATGATATAGTCTCGGATAGATAGCATGAAATCACCGTGATGCGATTCATGTTGCGCACATGAGGATCGTGGAAAGATTCTTCTCTAGATCCACACACAATTTCATCGAACGATTTCAAAGTCGGTCAAATTGTTACATCATGGATACAATAACCCTTGTTATGGCTTTTTGCTTGTTTACTTTTCTTTTCAATGTTTCCGAACGACCACCCGGGAATAGCATCTCCGCCATATACATCTCCCCGGCATGGCACCACTTCAATCGTGAATGTAACGAATGCTTTAGTTATCTGATCTTCGAATTTCATTATCATATGCGTTTCCGATTTCCTCTGGAAGTTGATCGGCATTTCATCTGACCAATGTGGTGCTGGAACTAGTGGAGTATGGTGGCTTTTGGGTAGCAATAAAACTGCGCCAGATAATGCCATGAAGTGGGTTGTACAGCATGTGTACAATCACCTTTCCTACCACGTTCTGTTTAATCGATTCTCTATCGGCCAAATATGCTTGATTTCGCGATTACTGGAAAATCCTACAGCTAGAATGTCGTAAAAGTAGATAGAAGCCCAAACCCGATCCGGGAATCCAATTGGTACTACTACGCCTAGAAAAAATTTAGCAGTCACTCTAATTGCATTTACATCCAAACTTGTGACCCTATCTTCTACTGACTCATGAGACACCAGGACAACATTCTGACGACTTTGTCAACAACTGATATCCCGATATTCATATTTCCATTCACTATGTGTGGACCTTGTGGAAGTTTTACGCTTACGATTTTTACTGGTGTAGACAGCATTACGGTGCTCTATGAATCAACGGGCTACCCATTCTCTCATAAGGATACTTTCGTCTATTAGTTTACTCAAGTTTCCACAACGGAGGAATCCCTATTTGGATGGAGGAAGCATTGTTTCAAGTGCTTGACATGTTTGAAATGAATGCGTCCAAGTTGATGACTGTAAAGTGTCACTCGTTGTAAGCGATTCACAGTTAACTTGCAAAGGGGATCAAATTTCACTCTGGAGCGGAAATTCAACTGGAGCCCACCTCCAGCTTTTCTCGGTAATTCTGATGTCCCATAAGATCTTTTGATTAAAACGGATGGTTTTTCAACAGTATCTTAAAGCATAACAGCGTGATGCACAAGGCTTCGTGTCATAAGCAGCAAGCTAATCGATCTTCGTTGATGTACGTGGGTGGCGAAACGCAGTATCTGATCTTGCGTTTTGTGTGGCAGGTAGAAGGGAATTATATCTACTCCCAACTAGGGTTTGTTAACGTTAAGTAAGCCACCATCAACCGCTCCGGTGTAGCGGAGTCGACACTAAAAGGGGGCACATATTGGACCTCTTTCCATTGATCAGGTGAGCCAAATTCACAAACGGATCTTGCTAGTTTACTAAAAAATGTTTTTTTCATCCCGCAGGTATCAGGCATTAGCGCGCATTCCGATGGAGATTGTGCCTTTCAGAAAGTGCTTCGATGGTACTTGGCCTAGCAGAGGATAAATAAGCCAGTTAGAATACAGGAAATTTAATGTATTACCCTTCCATAAGATTTGGTGTGCGGTAAAAATGAATAGCGATACGAATAAGCACTAAGTGTATTCGGGGAGATAAAAGCAGAGGATAAATAAGCCAGTTAGAATACGGGAAATTTAATGTATTACCCTTCCATGAGATTTGGTGTGCGATAAAAATGCGGAAATATAGATCGACAAATTTAAAAATGAATAGCGATACGAATAAGCACCAAGTCTATTCGGGGAGATATATTGGCCGGATGGAGATACCTGGGTTTCGAATCACCGGCTCACATAGACTGCAACGTCATCTTAGTGAGTCATATTGTTCCCCCGCCTCCTCGAATCAGTTGACTCTCCTGTTTTCTTTACGTCCACCTTCAGGACGTTAGCAACATGTCTTATCTTCTCCACCCTCTATGCTTAGCAGAGAGTTTTGTCTGCCCGATTACGGTCGATCAAGGCCGATAATAAAATAGATCATAGGCTATTTTCATAAAGGAAACTACTCACATGGTTGCTGAAAACTCTTCGACAGCCCACGACCGGTTTCACCCTTCTTGGGGCTCATCAGGTAGGTGCAGTTCCCAAGTTTCTGTCAACCTTATTTTCTACTTGCTCTACTAGATCACAGGCTCTGTATGCGGTAGCGAAGCGGAGCACGTCCAACCACCAACTGACGTTGGTTGTGTAAGAGTGGTACAATGCTCTACTAGATCACAGGCTCTGTATGCGGTAGCGAAGCGGAGCACGTCCAACCACCAACTGACGTTGGTTGTGTAAGAAGTGGTACAATTAAAAGGATTAGCTAACGCGCTCGGTCCATTTCTTTGGTATGTGGTCCGGCTCTGTGTGTATTAGATCCGCCTAGATCAAACTATGCTCTCCAATATAACAAACGTGTGTAAATCGCCAGATTCTCTAATATCGTTTTTAAACATCAAATGTTTCTGTTTCTCCTTTGTCTGGTCAGGTCACAACGATTCCACTCATTTGTCAAGTGTTGTCTGATCAAACATGAGCGTCGCAGACCGGATGCAGCCACAATGCTCACGGTACGTTCGTAGCTCTCATGGTTGACCTCATTGGGTGGAGGTTTGACCTTGTCAGACGTTTTCGGATCTTGTTATTCTGAGTTCGCATTTGCGCCGTGGTGTACATGCTTCACGTGATGGCTACCAGAAAGTCTTGTTACCATTTCCACACCATACAAAACAGATACTGTGACCTCAGGATAATCTAATGAGGTGTGATGTATGATGAACTAGTCGTCCACCAATATAAATCTGTGTGTGACAATAATTTGGCCACTGAATTCACAACCTATCTCGAAGACCGCTTCCAGGCCCATTCTTCAGCGGGAGCTTGGCAGGAAGTGGTAGCATCTTTATTTGTTGAACTGTCGGTGTGTTCTAAGAGGATTCATACTTTTGTCCCTAGATTGTAGCTTGCGTGTAACAGTGGTCATACGGTCACAAGCAATCTCGATACATGGATTGAATCCTCTAAAAGCAGGTAAACGTCTCAGGTCCTTCGTCTGCTATTGTTGGTTTTTTTTCGACGGTTCCCGTGCCTTGAGCGCTAATGGCACATTTCGGGATCTGACAGAAATATTGGTGGTTCTGTGACATCCTGAGAACTACGTGGACGTTTGCTCATTTCATCTAGTGTCCTGGATGTAGGCGTTTCCAAAAGGTCAGCGTGCACCGCGAAAATAGCCGAACAGAGCAGATGCTGTAAGAGAGTATACGAGTGGAATTCGCATTTTTCGCCTAGATGAAGTATTCAATGGAGGTCCTTCAAGGGAACAGATTTTCACGGACAAAAACCAGCAAGTCTCATGCGGTTAGTCTTGAACATGCCCTATGGCTATGCCATCAGGGCTCACAAGGGCTGGTGCACTTCCAGGTTGCCCAAGGCTAGACAGGGACAGTCAGATGCAGAGGTCAGATTCGAACTACAGTCTTTCCAGTCACTGAGTTCGCTCCTTGACCGATGAGCTAGCTCGAGCTCCAGCTCGCGCACACATCTCATAACATTTGAAGTCCGGCCAGTACAGGTCTGAAGTTTGTTCTGTAGTTTATGTCTCCTTCTGTGCGAGTTCTAGTGGATATCGACCCGCAAATAGTTCTGCTTATCTTGTTCTTCCGTGTTTCCTGTTCGTGCAATTAGCCTGTTTAAAAAAAACACTTCAAATTTTTCTGCGGTTACCAGATGAGTCAAAGTTGATTCGTGACACTTGTCTCCAGTTGCTTGACTTCGGTTTCTGAGCTCCTGATGTCAGATTCCACGAGGGATACTACCTGGTTTTCTGTGAAATTCATTGTTCTTCTTTCCTCAGGCTAATTCGCCTGTCTGTAGACGTCTTATTGCAACCCACGGTTGAACAGTCTCTTCATTTCTGGAACGTGCTGTTATGCTGATTTGAAGTTCTTCTTCTTTCAGTTGTTCCACATGTTGAATATGTTTGGTGGTGTGCTTACCCGTCAGACCAATTATTTCAAAGTAGGTAAACAATGGCGTCATATCAACTGCAACTAAAATGCTAGTGACAACTTGTATCCGGTGGATGTTTGATGGTCAAAAGCAAACGAAATCAAACTTGCTTCCTATGGTTGGTGACGTATATTCAGAACTTTAGGCTGTGTGACGGTTCTTAATCCCCCTGGCATCCCATCTGCTGAAGCAGCGATACTGTCTTCCTCCGTGGAAGGACGGGTTATAAAAGGTAGGCCCTAAAAACCGCACACTCTGATTGCCCAACGGCCGACCGTGACCGCCGGCGCGTTATTCAATACGGTCGAAATACTTTTAAAACCGGAGAGCCCGGTGCTGCTCAAAAGGCAACTGTTGCGCGCATCTGCATCGGGAAATGCCCTATTCTCTGCGCCCTCAGGCCAGGCTGGTCTCCTACAGCCAAGTAAGTCAGAATATTGAGTCATTGGCTCCGGGAAGGGTCCCACAAGAAAACCACAACAGCCGCTGTCTCGCGGTCTAGACTTTTGAGTGAGAGGCCTGGGGCAGGGTCCCTGAACAAAACCCTACATCCTACCACCGCCTTTTGGGTCAGACTTTTCAGTGAAAGGCTCAAGGTGGAGTACCTCAACTAAACTCCCTTCTTCAGCCTGGGCAACCGGGAAGTATCATTTGCCCTTGAAAGCTCTTTGCTCACCTTCCTCATTTCCTCCCAACCCATCGTATAACGCAGTGCAATCAACGCATCTGCGAACCCCCTAGCCACTGTTCCGTGTCTCAACCATCGCGCGGAAAAATAAACCAAAATAATCACCTACTGACTTTAGAAGGTCTGATCCCCGTTGCAGTCCCTAATGTCCGTACCCTATGTCAGACTGGGCAACAGACATCCATTGCTGAAACCTTACTTTCCCTCTCCGTCGATGTTTGTTGTCTTCTAAACACGCATACAAGACCCCACTTCGGTCGTGCTCCTCAAGCCGCTTGGAAAGAGTCCAGATGTTCCTCATTTCACTTTTCGGGCATCCGGTGATCCTGACGCAATGGCTCGTGGTATCTACGGTGTGGGAGTTGCACTCATCCCCAATGCTGAAAGCGTCTTATTGGACTGGATCCCAGTAAGCAGTCGCCTTTGCGCTGTCTATCTCAATTAAGATTAACACAGGTCGATGCGGTAAGCGTTGTTTGTTTATTGTATCAACATACGCCCCAACAGACTGCAGTTCTGAGACTGAGAAGGAGGAGTTTTATCAAGATCTGTCACGACTGCTTCGGTCGGCAAGAAGGACGGATATAGTAATCCTGGCGGGTGAAATGAACGCCCAAGTTGGACGACTAAGTCCGGAAGAAGCACAGTTTTGCGGTCGATTTGGAGTCGATGCTGAGTGTACAGATAATGGAAACCGGCTTCTTCAGTTGTGTGCAGAGCATCCTCTGTTCCTGACCTGTACGAACTTCCAACCCAAACGCACACAGTGAGTTATTCTTGGAGGCCACCTAACGCAAGACAGTCGTGGACTCAATTGGACCATACGGCTATCAGTTACCGATGAAGAGCCTCGGTTAAGGCTTGTCGTTCCTTCTGGGGTATGCTACTAGAAATGCTCAGGCATGTGGACAACGAAGATTGCTTGGTGGATGCATGGGGGTGAGTTAAAGAAGCAATGCTGTCAGCTTTGAGAACTGTGTGTTCAGCCCATCTGACTCAAGTCAATGAACACTGGATATCTTCGAGATCAGCAGATCTTACTGCTGCCAGAAAGGCTATACCAGCAACCAACGACTATGATGGGGCACGCAGATTCCTCAAACACCCGATAATTGGGAACGTGAAGAATGACAAAGAACGGGGGTAGATTTCGAAGGCTTGGGAGATGGAGAAGGCTTTTGTTGCAGGTAACAGTCGCGCCCTGTTTCAACTGATTCAGTCAAAGAAGAAAAAGACAGATGTCAGTGAGACAATATGCAAATAAGACGGAACAGCAATTCACTCACTCAACCGCCCTCTTGAGCGGTGGGCTGAGCACTTTCAAGAACAATTCACCTGATCTTCTTCAGCATAACCGCTGGAAGAACCAAGCGGATCCGAATGGAACACTGACCCTATTCCACCATCAGCAGCCGAAATCCAGCATGAGATTTCAATTCTGAGGCTCGACAAGGCACCTGGCCCGGATCGTCTACACCACGCGCTCTTTAAAGAAGGAGGCGAGGTCCTGGCGAATAGTCTGACAACCATACTGCAGAACATTTGGAACAAAAACAAAATACCAGCCGAATGGAGCTCCACGACCGTCATTCCAGTGGTCGGTAAATTTGTTTACCCGGGCGGCTGTATAAGTTCCGGTGGACTGGCTGTAGATGAGATTATCTCTCGAATAGCAAAGGCCAAGACAGCTTTTGCCAACCTTCGACACCTGTGGCGCTCACGTGACGTCAGTTTCTCTGTCAAGGAAAGAGTTTTCACTGCGGTGAGGCAATCCATACTGCTTTATGGATCAGAGACGTGGTTCCTACTCGCAAAGGACATACGGAAGATGTCAGTGTTTGATCATCGATGTCTCTCAAGCAGTGATCAGGTCTGGTGGGAACGTTGGATCAGTAATGATGAGGTACGCCAGATGGTCTTAGGAAGAAGGAACTCTCCCGCGATAGATGAATTACTCTAGCTTCATAGGTTACCTTGGTCAGGACATGTTCTCCGTATGCCAGAAGGCCGTATGCTTCGAAGAGCTATCCGCCCTCCCTGTGCTGAGTGGAAACGACAGAGAGGTGGACAATGTATGACCTGGCAACGAAGTATAAAAACACTAACAGTAAACTTTGTCCGGTGGGCAACTGCCTCCTTCCTGGATGAAGACCCCGGGACTCAACTCACCATTGGTTAATGACATTGGCAGAAATGGCTTAATTGGACAGTCAACGGTGCTTGTAGATCAAATCTATCGTCTTCAGTGCGTAGCTACCCAATTTCCGAACAAACTGAACATGCCTTCGCCTCCAACGTTAGGTTATATATTCTACTTTCCCATTTCCCGGTGATCTAAACTGTAGCAGCCGTAACCAATGTGCAGATGGTTTAGAGCTAATAAGTTAATTTGAATTCAATCGCTGACAGACGACTGCGATGGACGTCTATAATGACTGATCTTCACCCTAAAGGTATAAAATTTGCTTCAAGGAATGTCGGTATTCACACATTGTGGTCTCTATGCCTGATTCCGTCACAAGGTACATGCAACGGATTCGAAAAATGACCCCAATATTCTGCCATTCTGATTTACTCTCACTCAAGATGGTCCCCTTTTCCCGCTGTCAGCCTCCTCTTTTCCCTGGTTCTGTTAGTCTCTGGTTAATGTGAAGATGACAAAACCAGCCATATGGATCAGGAGACTGGATTGGTTCCTTTTTCTGCCGTAGTCTGTTATACCTATCGCTATATTCATCGACTTCGTGTTCAACCAAATTACCGAACAGTTTTGGCCGTCACTAATCGCAACTAACAGTTAAGCTCGCTTGTTCTTTGCAACAATAATTCTCTTAGGTTTTGACACACGAAACATTGTACTTGTAGCTGCTAACAACAAGTCGTTTTCCCAAGTACCACGGATATTTTAATCCAGACTGTCTACGTCCGCATCGACCAGGTGAAATGGTAAGCAAGACCCGCTACCTACTCTTGTGTTACGAACAGTTATATCTTTTGCTTGGAATCTGGTTGATGCTAGTAAAAACTAGGTGTGTCTGTAAATATTGCAGTGATACAACCCAGTCAGCAGGCGCAATGCATTCGTATGCAACAAATTTTGATTGTTTCTAGTTCAACCGAGGAAAACTACTCACCTGAGGTCAAATAGTCAGTATATAAACAACTTGAAAAGTGTTTGACATGATGGTGTTTTTTTTCGAAATAGGCTTGATAACTTTCGCTGTGTATGTTTTTTCCCAACCGACCTTTCCACAACTAGCACAACTTTGTGACCAACCCGAGTCTTTCTCCAAAATTAACCCAACGGCTACTGAATTTCAAGCGTCAGTTGGAACTGCAAGCAAAACAGCCCCTACAATCTGCATCCCCGCCACCACCGGTACCTCCACCACTCACAGACGTGGTTATATCCAAACTACCTTTGTCCAACGTGCCACAGAATGGATTCTTCGGGCTTTCCGAGGATTCTGGTCCATATCCTTCTGATTCACCCATGGTGATCCCAGTGGATGCCCAAGCATCCAGTGTTGTCCACACACATCAACCACTGCAACAGTTTGTCTCCACAAGACGCGTACTTCTAAGCAACGACTCCCGATTACTTTCCAACGCCCAGTTCCAGGACAGTCTCTCCCAATCAAACCTCCAGGTGGTATGTGATTTTTCATTTGTTTTCAAACTACCACTGTCCCTTTTTCATCTGAGCGGTTCCTTCTATTCACCGCAGAGGCGTCTGACTTAGTTTAAAGCCGGTCGTAAAGTCATATTATTGTGGAATGTCGAATAGGTAATGAAATCTGAAAATGAGGGACGGTTTTAATAGCTGATGTTATTTCAAAGGTTTGCAATAGGCTTTCCGTTTGTACAAGGAGGTAACAACACTGTGGGAGACCATCTGGTTTGAAATCCCGCTCTTTCCAAATAGTTACGACAGTGCTTGTTGCGTTGAAGAGTGCTCCGTGAGGTCCAACTGGTAGCTGCTTGTGTGGATGGTTTCGTTATGGTTCGCCCTTCGTTACGCGCAGTCCTCGTACTCTCTGACTCATCTAACTCATTCATTTATCGACACTGCAAGAGAAGAATGCTGTTCAGCTGTCTCATTCGTCAGGGCGTTCCTCGTCCTGTGAAAAAATAGATCTTTGGCCTATGTCGAGGCATTGAAGCATCATTGCCAACACTAATGTTGCTGTCTTTAATGACGATGATGGTGATATCGAGGCTAACCTTAGGATCTAACGTGAGCTTCCTATAGAGGCAATGGCTGAGTCCTCATTCGACTGATGCGGCAAAATCGAGCAATGTTTTCACCTCCCCATGTTCCCCCCTCTGTATCAGGATACGTTCCCGAAACTCGGAGTACTGAGTAATCTTGTTTCCAAATATTCAGCAAGAACTCCAGATGTCTACTAGGGTCGATCACTCTCTGGTACATATTGCAAAACTACCGTTCAGCATCCGTGATAGTTTTTTTTACGAATGAAACTATTTTGGATGTGATGTGATCTTCCTTGATAACTTTGAAAACCGTTTAGATACGTTCAGCTGTGTCTGATTTCACATTGCGTTTGTTTGATTACCCCCTCAAATGCGGGAAGAGCAGAGGTGTACTTACCAGCAGCGATGGTTTTTGGTTCGTCATCACGACCGAGTTTTATGTAACATTTTCGGGTGTTTTTGAAGACTGAACGCTGTTCCCTCACGTGCTCTTTCGCAATGCATCCTAGCTCTTCATTTCCAACTTTTCGAGCTGAATCCAGTATGTCATTCAGGTTGCTTCCTTGATACTGTATTTTGCTCACTCTATACAAGTCAATCTCGAAATTTTTTCACCAAAGTTCTTTTAAGACGACTTCGGCCTAGCAAAATGGCAATAGAACGGATGCTAATCATCACAGTACGTAGATACAAGAATGTTGTCCCCTGTTCATGAAACATTCAAGTGTAATAGATATAGGATCCGTTACCCATACCAATAAGTCTATGCGAGATGCGTGGATAGGGCAACCGACCAACGCTGGTTCAGGAAATAGGCAAGTAAGAGCAGTTGTTCATGAACTCATATATCTTAATAAAGCTCACGTAAAAATCCTACCACCTCTCGTATATCTGCTACCTTTCTAGGCACTGGTAATGGGACAGATGTAGGCACTTTTGTATTGATCCCCAGCTTCTAATCAAGCAATTTCCCTTTATTCTTTTTAATGGGACTGCTTTCTTGAATGCCAGTTAAATGCCAGTGTGTTAATTTGTGCGCACGATGAAGATGGACGCAAATGCAGTTGTTCCGACATCTGTAGAGCTTTTTCAACACTAGTATTTTAATGTGACGATTTGGACGGTGGGAATTCAACGGTTTTGCATATTGCCAGTTCAGAACTTGGATTGTTGCGCCTTGCTCATTTCAATCATGACCGTGAATTGAGAAAGCCCTTGACGTAGGACTGGTTGATTTTACATGTATGATGGGGCCATACGTGACACTTCCCACGAAACGCAACTGTGTGGCCCTTCTCGTAAAAGTGCCGCGCTAGCTTTTCTAGTGGTTACCGTTATCAGTATTTCTGTCCATGTATTCACTAATCATCTTCGTGTTCCACTTTTCTCTTTATAGGAGCCTACTGAATGCTCCACTGCCTCGTCAGATATTTTCAGCTCTGAATGCCCTCCCAACCCTCGTGAAGTTATCGTGCTCGCGGATCCCAGCAAAGCTATTGTCACCAATGGTTCTCCTCAGGCACAACACTCTTCATCGAACTTGTCCGAATCAAACAGTGACCTCGCCCCGGCTATTCCAGCTAGATGCTTGCGCGGTGCCTCCATGGACACAAGCAACTCTGAAGATCGTTTCTCATCCATCCCAGAGAACTCTGAATCAACATGTTCCGTCAGCGTTGGTGATAAACAAAAGCCTAAACGACCTGCTCCGCCTCCCTCTGTTATTCGCATCAACTGCAACCCACCGAGTTCTGTCGCTCCGCTAAAGGTGGGAGGTGATGCTTCGCTTCCCGGAGGACTTGGCGTTGGCGACGGCGGATTGTTTGCCGATGGTCTGCTACGAGGAAGCTCCGAAGTAAGGCGAAAATTTTGCATTTGGTGAATATTTTGGTAGCCGGAATGCAGCGCACTCACAGGTTGCTTTTTTCATACGCCCACATTGTTCGGTTAATATTAGCAACGCAAGATCGCTTCGTTTTTGTAGCGTGCCATCACTCGAGTGGTGTAACTAAACGGAGCATCCGAACGTAGATTTTGGCTAGCTATATGCCGGTTCCCTCAAGCCAGTCAACTCTAATTGTTGACGATTTTTCTTGCGAATCTAAGGTTTCTGCTTCTGACATTGTGCCCCATTTTGCAGCAAATTTATCGATGAATGAATCCATTAACTAGCTGGACTCAGGACGTACAAGCCATCCTTTCCACCAGTTTGGTGCACCGGTTCGCTTTTTCGGTGTGATGCTTTGCCTACCACACGGAAAACGAGAGGCATCTTCAATGCGTTTCGCTTTGTACGTTAGTCTAGTCCAAGAACCACATCATCCCGCAGACTGGGAAAACCTGTATGTCTCAACGCCCGATAGGCTTTAGAAACATCAAGTTGTTTTTTTTCGCTTTTTCGGTGTGATGCTTTGCCTACCACACGGAAAACGAGAGGCATCTTCAATGCGTTTCGCTTTGTACGTTAGTCTAGTCCAAGAACCACATCATCCCGCAGACTGGGAAAACCTGTATGTCTCAACGCCCGATAGGCTTTAGAAACATCAAGATTCTTTGTTTTTTTTTTATACCGACATCTCTCCACGTAGCGGAAATCGTTCACATGTTTACCGATTTCATTTCTTACCAATGACACGCGACTATCCTTCTTCTATTGAGACTTCTACTGAGACCACTCTGAGATAGTTTGAGACGTATTTTAGCGATAAACTCTCTTCCTACACTAAACCATTTTTCTGGTCAGTCTTTGGAGCTGGTCTCCATAGAGGAGGCCAACTGTATATTTAGTGATACCGATGAAGCACATTGGTTGGTTTATTTGAACTAGATGTTTTGATACACGAGCCACTGAAAACAGCTTACCCATTGTTCATGTACAGTTAACCTGCCCACACTACTTTGCTCCAATGTTGCGATGCTGGTGTAGCCGAGGCTTTCTGGCTTCGAATAAGTCTGCGTGGGAGTCGTAGCCACGTAGTGTCATTGAACTCAAATTCACTTTCAGCAGTTATTCACATGCATGTTCAAAAATGGAACTAACCGGAGACAAGTTACCAATAAAAAATATAGTTTTCTTTAGTGAAAATCGATCGAATTTTTTTATGAAAAATTTTCAAGTGGGCATTCACTCGCTTTCATGGGAGGCTGCGTTGGTTCGATTGGTTCCAAACGTCTCTGCACATGATATTTTCATCGAAGCCTCATTGATTCCTTCTCTTGCAAAGAGAAGCGCTACACTGCGCGCTTGAGCATACATATGCTTTTTCAACCGCACATTCCGAAAAATAACGTGATATCCTAATGTTGCATGATCAGACTTGCTCAGCTTAATCAGAAAGTTGAAGCAAGATGATGTTGGGATTTTTCTCAGGGATGAAAATTCGACTGGTGTGTAAAAAGTGGATTAGTAGCAGTTACGTCAGTATTTTTACTGTGTGAAGTGCACGACTCCTTCACTGTATACCATCGTATTTGATGTTGCTCACCAAGATATCTCTCGGTTCCCTCCTTGAGATCTATAAGTTTGTTCGGTTTTGATAACATTCGTCCGGTATTATAACAGATGTTTGAGACTAAGTGTGATCAGGATCCATGTAAAGTTCAAGCTGTTTTTTTAGCAAACCATGCAACTACTTCGTAGCACTGAGCACGATTAGGTCTACTCGTTATGTAGAGGGATATAGACGCCATCATCGTCATTTCTAGCTTTAAGGTTTGTGTGTGAATTCGCCGGTGCGATACCTGGTCGATCGATGACGCATTCCATATCACTCAGAGTATGTGCGTAGTGCAGATTTAATTGGTATTGGTGCGACAGTTGGTGAGGCTACTAAACCTGAATTGAATGGTACCAACTACCCTCCAAACAGTTTCTTGCCATATAGTTATACCTGTAAGAGGTCTTACTGGCCACTCTTCCCACTGACAGTTTACTAAGACTTGGTTCTTTCAAGGATTCAATGAGAAGAATGTTGAGGCACCTCTCTCGGTTTGTACCTTTTATCTCGTATCAGAGAAAGATATCTACCGCGTCATTTTTTCCACTCCAACTGATTATCCAGTCTGATCTGGCGGAGCGTTGCCTAATCTCAAACTCCATCCATCGTTCTCTTAGTGGAAACCGCGTGTGTCTGCATCGCACTTTCGTCACGCATTGTTTCTTACCTTTTGCAACCCAATTGAACCAAATATTTTTTTCGTTATCAGGATTTGCTCCGTGAAGTGATGGATGCGTTCGAAAAACGACGGAGTTGCATCGAGTTACCAGATTCGTATTCGTAAGTGGCATGGAAAGACACCTATGGATTGATAATGTACTGCCTACGTTATTTGCCAAAATGCACCCCCATACAGGGATCTGTTTCGTCACATTTGAAGGCCTAACACGACCCCACCACCTTAGGGAACCTTCAATCATACTTTACAGTATGCATACCACTGGTGAATGACGTGCGCATTTTTATCAGATGCTGTAGAGGTGATTTCCCAGTTTGTTTTGCGAAGTTGATAAAGCTTTCCGACGACGGAGTTGCATCGAGTTACCAGATTCGTATTCGTAAGTGGCATGGAAAGACACCTATGGATTGATAATGTACTGCCTACGTTATTTGCCAAAATGCACCCCCATACAGGGATCTGTTTCGTCACATTTGAAGGCCTAACACGACCCCACCACCTTAGGGAACCTTCAATCATACTTTACAGTATGCATACCACTGGTGAATGACGTGCGCATTTTTATCAGATGCTGTAGAGGTGATTTCCCAGTTTGTTTTGCGAAGTTGATATTCTAAGCTTTCCGACCCACTCCGTGATTCACCCTTGTTTCAAACAGCTGTTGAAACATGTATGTGGGCGAGGTTCCTGTCACACTGTCGATTTAATCCTGATGGAGTATTGGTCACTTGAATCGATCCGTTAATCATGAAGCCTAGAATTTTTACGATGTGCTTCACGGTATATTTTTCAGTAACTGTTTCTGGAACCGACGATTTCATCATTGCATTGAGGAGTAAAACACTTACTGTTCCGGAACAGAATGAAATTCAGTATATTTCGGTCTTTCTGCTCTCGGGAAAGGGATATTTTACTTCCTTGTATCGTTAGCCGTAAAATCAACCGCACTATTCATGCTGCACCTCTTTTATAATGGGGAATCCGAATTGTGCTGTAGACAACCAAAGTGTCTCTGTAAACGAACTTCCTTGCTCTCCACGTCATCAGTCAGATGGATTTAGGGCTGCGTATGCTTATGTTTGTCCTCAGAAATTGTTGTGCCGAATGAATGTATGGAAGTCCTTGCTGGTCAACTCGCCAACTGTATTCACTTCTGTTGCTATCGTCTTTCTCGACTGAAGTTCCCACGTCCTGGTGATTGACCCCCCCCCCAGGTAACCTTGTGTAGAATCACACTCCAGCTGGTCTAAACAAACAGAAACTGCCGTTTACACGGTGCACTAAGGTTGGGTGACATGCTGATAAACCGCAGTACTGATTTTACCCGTAACCCCCTGATTTTCGCACACATGGATTCATCTTCTGTCTCTCCGGTAGGCAGTTGTCCGGCTGGATGCTAATCCGTGCATGGCTTCTTGGGCGAACTAAGTTAGGATATAAATCTCTAGTGGTACTTGACTATCTCATGCGTTTTAGGCCATCGCCAATGGCTCTTCTGAAATAATGCAGCGGCTTCTGGTATGTCGCAGACTTCCGCCGGACTTTTTATACAACTGTAGCTCTCAATTCTATCATCTGAGGTACCACCCACTGCCTGTGGTTAGCAACCTGACTTATAGGACAGCACTAATAAAACATGGAACCCATACTCCTTTGAAGCTGAAAGCTTAAGCCGTCCTCCACAACCTTGTGGGTGTGAGATGGCCACACGTGCGCATATTTTTCTGCAGCTGCCTCACAGTTCATTGGGGACCGTTTGGTTTATTGATATTTTGGCTTGTCACAAGCTTGCCTAACAGTTGGTAGGTTGCCCCATGTAAGACCTCAGGTTGATAGTGGTTAGTGTTCTCGTTGGAAGACGATCAGACGAACATCTAGCTTGACCTCTCCGAAACGTGCCCGGTGACTTTCGTTCCTTCGGTTTCAAGTTCAGATTCTCCACCCAAGTTAGCAGTTCTTCACTGGCGAGGGTACGTAGTTTGCATAGAGCTCTGTATGTTCATTGATTGAATTTGTTTTGAGGAATGTCGTGTTTCGTGGGACTCCCTTGGTCGTTCTATGCCTCAATCAATCCGTACCCTTGTCCTTCGTTTATGAAAGTCAGGGACAATAGATCGTATCTTGCGATCGTTTTGTTCGTATAAGGGTTTTCTACCTACGTGTTCCATTTATTCCAGTAGGCGATATTGTTTTGATCTTGTCGTTTTGGTCCAAAACCCGATCTCTTGAAAGAATTATCACGATTCCTTGCGATGAGTTCGTATATATTCTTCGTGTACGAAGGGTCCAACTATTTACTTGCTTGTTGCTGTTGTGCGGGTTGCTTTTGAAGTGCTCCATTCTTCGGGCTTCTCCTGGTACATTTCTCCAGATATCCATCGTTTTGTGCCACTTGATTTAGGCGGTTTCATTCTTTTCTCACTTTTGTCGTGCCGTAATGTTCTTCCCTCTTTTTTGCTGTGACTTATCAGATATTTGTTATGATAGTTCTCTAATCTCCGTATGCTGGCGTCTAGTCGTATTGCCACATACGGGAGTGATTGTTTTGCCTCTTCCCCGTATGATACCCACAATTTTGTTGTTAAAAATGCGTTGTATACAGTTGTTTCCTCAACGAATAAAATGACATCCACATAGTACACTTAAGCTTAAGCAGTACTAGAGCAACGCATTCCAACGTTTGCCTGAGGGCTTCAGCGACAGAATCTGTTATCGTTAGTCTCGTTGATGTTCTATTTGCGGACCATTTGTCCATTTAAAGTACGTGGTCACGCACCTACCCCGGAGTTCGCACAAGTCGTCTGAGTTTGTTGCTCTTGTTGTATCAGGTTTATGCTAGGGAACCGGTACTATGGTATACTTAGGACGTTCATGATACAAGAGGAATAGTGGGACAAGAAAACTGATGAAAACTCTGTTCTGGAAATGACCACGTTTTTATGAAGGTTATGTATATATCTGTTAATCTCACTGCTAAAGTCCTGGAACTGTTGGTATGGTCAGGCATGCTATGGTACGAAGCATCAAAACTTCCGTGCCGATGATGTGAAAAAGAACGAACACCACCTATTATTGATCCACATAATGGTGATTTGCAGGCGTTTGTAAGAGTGAACTTTGCTTCCTCCAAACAGTGACACTAGTTTGTGCTATTCACACCAGACACTTGCTGGACTCCGAATTTCACCAATCCATATCCTTGCCCTCGTTATTTAAAAACACTGAAATGATGAATCAGTTTGGCTACCTAAGCGGACGAAGCGCCGGTGACTAAACAGGATAGTTTCGCAACCTGACAGCTGTCGCTTTGATCACAGAAATGATCCAAATGTATATCGGCTTGGGCTGCTATGGTTGCATTCTGTGAAGGCCCCGGAATGGTTTGATATGGTCTATGTTGTGGTTTGTGTCGATCAAGTGCCTATCGATGTCCTGCTGCCGTTACTTACACTGGGCCTGTTGCTCAACTGGGTTGCTTTGTTGTGCGGCAAAGCTACTCTGCAACACATCTGCGTGAAAAGGAATATGGTGACAGGTTTCGAGCTTGGACATGTGCTCGGTCTTTCACATTAAAGGACGACAGTCGACGAGTTACGAACCAAGTACAAAGCGTGGCGGCAGCATGCATTTTGTTTGTCTAGGGTTGAGCTAACCTGTTTGAAAATCGTCTTTGACTGGTAAGTTAAGGTATACTGGCTCCTTCTCTCTTGTGACACTTGGCGAAGAAGAATTACGTAAGATAAATTTCCGTACAGAACCACTCACCCCGTTATGCTGTATAACTTCCAGCTCAGATTGTAGGGTGTCCCGAGAACAAATTTTGACCACCATACTACGTGAACTATGAATAAGGATTTTCTTCTGTTTCATTGGCATATGCTGTTACAATCGACGTAGTTCTGCGAGCAAATGTACTTTCTGTAAACATGGCGGTTCAAAGACTTCGGTATGTTCGCTTGGCCTGGAGATCCAGGAAATTAGACTCATTATTCGACCCAGTGAACCTAATAGACGAAGGTCGAATGGCGAACTGACTTCTTTTTGGTTGTCAACGACAGGACAGACACATCGTCATATTGGTGGTACTAAGGCATTTGGTCAGTGGAACATTTAATGGGTTCCGTTTCTAGAGTGTTCATCAAAACCCCAACCAATCATGGTCCTTGAGGAGAACCAACAGCATCCCTTCCAGATTGACGACACAGTCGAACTACCAAACAAAATGCCTATTTTACTAAAATACGATATAGTCACATTTTCGGACCGTAACTTAGTAGGATGTCTCGTCTAATAATGTCGAAACAAACTGTGGGGAACTACAAGATAAGGGAAACGTGATACTACTGATAGATAGTTAACCCTAGGTTTGCGTCAAAATTGAATGTCTCATAGGATTCAAGATGGCTTTTCCTTGTAAGTCTTGTAAGAGTTTTGGTAAAAGTGTAGTGGTGTACCAGGGGTATTGCACCAATAGTGTGGCTCTGCTTTGTGAAATCTGCAATGTTCAACACTTTGTGAACTACTCCCATTGTAAAAGTTAGTAAATCTCCTTTGGGAAGCGACCAGCTTACAAAAACCAACTAGACCTAAACCAAGGGTTCTCGTCTGAATGCAGACTTTTGCGCGACCACTGTGGGCGTTCCGTCAAGTGAGTAGCCATGCTACGCAGTTGTATTAAATTTTTATCAGATTATGGTGATGGTATCATCGAACGATATTCTAACTCAAGTTTTTCCATGTTATAGTGCGTCTCAGAGGCCGAAGTCATGATCGTATAATTATATCTGTCCATCTCTGGAGAGATCAACCGTCACGTAGGAGCACTTTGCTCGGCCTCTATAGCGTAGTTCAGTATAAGCTCCTTGCAGAAGAGACCGACTCGCTGCGGTGGATGCTTTCATCTGGCCCGTTGTTGTGGCCCTTCGAGGGCGGAAGAGAGTACTGTTGTCCTTTTAAGGAGCAATACCTTCAAAGGTCACTTCATGATCAGTCTTTTCGAATAGTCTTACTAGAGAAAAAGGTTGCACTTGTTCCAACGAATAGTCTTACTAGAGAAAAAGGTTGCACATTAGTTGTTCCAACGGCAGTGAAGCATCGGTGTTGAACACTGATGTCATGCTATCGATGATGATGATGACTCCAAAGACTGCTTGCATAGACTCGTCAAGGTTGATCCCTTCCTATACTTGGTCCCTTAGAGGGACTCGACTACTCGAATAACTCACAAATGACCAGCCATAATTTGTTCCATCTGAATGACAGTCGCTACCGCGGGGGAAAACTGTATTAGTTGTGTACCATATGGAAAGAACCTATATAACCGGACGCCCAATACAACTAGGGGAAACAATGCTGCATTTAATCACCTTATTGGGGTAGAAATAAATGAAAGTGATCTACACTCATTTTGCACCTTAATCTTTGTTGGATTAGAGCCATTGGGAATAACCTTCGATGGGGATAGAGAGTTTGTCTTTCAAGGGATGTCAGTATTACGGTCAGATTTAAATGATCCAATTTTGGCGTGTACTTTCCGTGCGGGAGACCCAAATGCCTTGTTTCCAAAGTGGTAGGCTGTCAATTAAGGTAAGCAAGTGAGACACGTAACAGAACTCATTGGAAGTGCAGCACACTTTCGTCTGCATGATATTGATTCAGCAATGGGCATGCTTTTTTTGTTGAATAACGTGGAATCAGTCGGTATCTCACGGACAACAAAAGACTTGGTGGCTTTGATCAGGGAAAAATCATGGAGTGAGGTCGTAAAGCTTTCAAATACTAGTTGAGCGTGAGGTGCCCTCACTTGGAATGAGTGGTTTCATTGCCAGACTGTTGCACTACGATCCACAATCGAGACGTGGCATAACATTAACCAAATGTAATTTTCTTTTTTGTTAACCGAAAGTGCCTTTCCCATCCGCTGTCTGCGTGTAGACTAACGCAATAACTTCAGTTGACTGTAATTACTACGTCTGTTCGCCAAGCACTCTCATTTGCAAACTAATTCGACGTGAGGCTCAATTGAATCTCGTCCAGGTTGATCTTCAGTCAACGTTCGGTACGAAGCAAGCTTATGTGTCAGTCGGTACGATATGCCTTTATCACGTCAGATTGTGCAGACGTGACACATAACTCACAGAGTTGCTGAAAACTCTTTAACAGTCCAGAACCGGTTTCGCTCCTCTCTGAGCTCCTTAACGAGACTCAGTCCTCCGGCTCCCGTCAACTTGGACCCAAAGTATACAAAATTAGAGAACTACACTCCTTTTCATACTAATTTGATTTTCACCGAAGACCAACCCGCCACCCAACTGAATTCTTCGTTTATGGTGTTATTCTTTAACTGAATTTTCTTCACCAGGCCTCCTCATTATTCATTTGGTACGATATTTGAGCTATCGCAGTACATTGTCCAGTAGTGTATTGAGTCTAGACAATGCATCGTGACATCTTGTATATCGTCTCGATTGGAACATGGGGCGGCCTTGTGCACCTTGGAGAAGATAATCGTGAAGAAACGGTTCAGTCGGGTTCAGTTGAGTCTACCGTCACAACCAAATTAGTGTGTAACTGAGAATTGTTGGTGAATTCCGTCCAGTTTGGTTCAAGTGGAACATATAGTTGACGCGAACTCGGGGGCTGCGCCTACATGGTGAGACCTAAGAGGGAAGAACCGGTCGTGAGCTGTCGGAGAGATTTCAGCAACCTACTGAGTAGTGTGTTATGTCAATAGCGCGCACTGCGTTTGCGGGAGAGACGAGTTGACTGCAGTGATATTTTCAGGGACGAACTATGTGCTCCGTTTACTACACATAACAATGTATGTCTGAACAATTGTCACATTAGAGCGTGATAAGGTGAGCAAAACAGGTTGATGTGCCATCCTGTCAGATTATCACTGCTGTTGTTTTGGAATTTGTTCCGGACTAGACGCTGTATACAACCTGCGTTCATGGTACTAGCTGCTTTCGTCGGCTTTCTCTTGTCACATCATGTCGATAATTGCGTAAAAGGTTTTACCATGATATCCTCGGAGAAACCGTATCTGGTGTGCACTTCTGTTGATCTTATCGGGGTTCGAAAGTGGATAGCTGCTGGTGCCAGGATGATGGTAATAAAAATGGTGACAATGCAGTGTCAGCCAATAACTATTGTTGGGGTGAATCCAGACGGACGCTTAATCAATTGTTTCTAACACCATTGGTATGTAATGTTATCTTACTGAAACAGTATCATTGGGGATTGGTACACAGAAAAGTCTTCATAGGTTTACCTCCCTTTTTACTTCGGTATGGTTTGGCCACGTCCACCCGGATTACAGATTGCATCTAAATGATAGCCCTTTTTAGCCGGATGAAGCAGAAGGGAAACTACGGAAGGTTTTCCTTAATTGCATTCAAGGGAAACCGACTTTCTTATTAATAGTACATGGCTTCAAAACTAGTCTGCACCTAAACGACTAATCCCGAGCGTTGATCAATTTCGCTTATCCAACTAAAGATCACGGTTTCAAATGCAACTCGTTCTATCTTTGGTATTGAAAATATTGAGATTTTCTTTGAAGAATTACTTCGATGCGAATAAGATGGTAGCTTTTCCGGTACTTCTAATGTCAACCGATCGGCAATGTGTCTAAATATTGGTTTCTGGAGTAGGTCGATTGGCTGTGTATCAGGTGGCAGCTGGTCATTAGTCGAACCATCAATTTGCACAGACCATGTGACTTGCTTGTGGGTTAGTCGTACAATTGCTGATGTTGACTGTCATTCGTGTAAAGCTTGGCCTTAACGGAAGGTTCAGTTTACATTCCAGTCAAACATTTTGTTCGCAAAGTACTCCGATCAAGGTCCCGTTGAACTTTCATTCAAGGTTTCGAAGTATTCTCTCTAACTATTCAATGAGCTTCGAAACTGCAGTGTTGGCCGATATTCCCTAGGTTTTGTGTAGCCGATTGTATGATACAAACTTGTCCCAGAGCATGTTCAAAATCACCTCGGAAGCAGTAAGCACACATTTCTGAAGATACTGTTGAGTTGTTTGAGTGAATATTAGATTATTAAAACACGCTAGCCCAGTGGTATCCCTTGAGGTTTCCGGCACCACTCATTGTTGGTAAGGCTCACCGTACATCCGTTCCCAAGTCGCTCGGTAATACAAAAGCAATTGGCTTGAACGAGCAACCGCTATAACGCATTATACATTATTATCCAGTATTTCTAAGTTCTAACCAATGGAATCTCACTGTGCCACTGTGGAAAGCAAGTTTGTTCTAACTTCTGGCCGATTTTCTATCACCCCCTCATGTGTACCAGTACCATGTGCATTTCATGACTATCTCCGACCTCGTTGTTCATATTTCGACTATCCGTGTTTACCGCTTTAGACACGCACCCTATGATCGCGATCGTCCGTCTTCAGTCGGTGCCTCGCCTAACGTCTCACCAGATAAGCAAGGCGTGCTCACCGACAGTCGCAGAAGAATGGTGAGTAGTTTCCTAGTAGTCATTCAACTAGTAAATTATTACTAAATCTTGACTCTCCAATATTTCGGCTGTCATCTCACATTAGACTACGACTGTGTTGACTGATGAATTAATTAGTTAGCCTCTAGGCTTAAACCGATTGTGACGAAGCCCCTTGCTTAATTTCCTGGGAAATTTCCTCTGATTCCAGCACATTTTACCCCGAGGGCGAGATTTTCCTTCTGGGATCTGGCCAAGATGCATTCGGTTCCCTTGTATTGTATTGTAAATAACTTTCGTTCATTTCTTTCTTTCTGACGATTATCGATAAAGGATGCTATGATCTGTTTCTAAGCTGATTTGTTCGTAAGATTTGTAATTAGCAACCTTACATGTATGAAAGATATGAATACACCTTAGAAACATGTGCTCCACATAGCTGTCAATGTATTTGGGTTGTCCTACCATAACCCGAAACTTCGCCGTTTTCTTCATCGATAACTCGGCATTAATGTAGAAAGTTGATTCTTTCCAGCCGTAGGATCACAAGTGATTTGGAAGAAGAGTAAGCTTAACCCATTATCTGCCTACTACAAACGTTATGTTGTGTATAAACCTTCAGGCACTTGTTCATACAACATGGATAGAAACAATAACTTCATTGATATCTAGTAGCAGCTGTATTATTCAACATTTAGTGGAGCACAGAATCCTGTCCGGTAACGTCCAGAATTTTCTCAACCGTTTCCATACGCTTCTACCAAAGGTTGATCATCTCTTCACTTGTACCATACAGTATTAGGCACGGAAAATAGCTTTCTTTTCGTCGACTGGTGCGCAATATGTGGCCGCCGCTTATGTTGCTGGAATTATTCTTCATTCGGCGCTTCTGCCTCACGGCTAAATACCCTTCCCCCATTTCTGCTATTGTGCGTTCGTTGGCAGCAGTCCGTACGAGCTACGATTCGGATAACTGGGCTGGTTGTTTTGCTTTTGGTAGGCTCCTCGTATACTTCTTATATATTAGTTATGAAAAAAGGGTGTGTTACATTTCCTAAACGGTCTGTAATGAGCATGTCTGTTAAAAAGAATAGGTTGATCAACAAAGCCAAGTACGTTTTTGAAATTCCACAGTACGAATATTGTGGATTGTGGTCGTTGCCTTGTTCGCTGAGCTGGCAATTTGATTGCAAACGTTTCGTCACCAATCGACGTGACATCATCAGTGCGTTATTGGGGAGCGTAGTGGTGCGTAGCAGTGGGTTAGTGGTTGTGGATTGTTCTGACATCACGTGAACTGTAAACGGATCATCGACGCAATTCGTGCCCGTCCAATAACTTGCTTGCTACTAATTCATGTCCATCACGTGACAGCGTGCCCGCCATTTTCAGTCGCGTTGCAGTGAGGGTCTATCTGACCCCCAGTACTCGCTACGTTCATCTTGTGCACAATTGTCCGGGATATCCTCCTCCCATATGAAGCAGGGTGGGAGATCGTTGGGACTCGGTATTACTCGAGATAGGGTATCCAATCATTAACTTCGATCTCACAGGGGGTTCCAGGGCCCCTCGTGCAGCTCAGGAATCGGCTGAATAGCAGTAAGTGGTCACGATGGTTTTTGTTCGAAATGCTCGGTGCAGCAGTCAAGGCGCTCTTCTTCCGTACAAATAATCCATGGTTGATAGTTTCACTCATGTCGTCAAGGCCTCGTTGCACGGATCAACTGGAATAACCTGGTATTATCGACATTCATACCTTCAATTCCCTTATCCTACCGCATCCTCCAGGTTTCAGGGTCGGCGTACACACCGATGTTCTGTCTGTTTTCGATAGTCTGATGGATAGAGCTGGATAGGTCGTACCTCACGATGAACGCCAGTGGCACTTTCAATAGATATTGCGATTGCATCTTAGTGAGGTTAAGCATTTGGAGGGAATACCTGGTGGTTATGTTGAATTCGGTTGATTTCAGGATATTTGGGCATCAGTTGTTCCCACAACTCCGGAGCAAACTGAAACCGGGCCTGTTAATTGTTATAATCCACGCAACGTCTCTACAAGCGGCAGAGGTGCTTGATTCGTGTCATCTGTAGCTGATGGCGGCATGATTGGTTTGCGTCCACGGCTGGTTAGCTGTTAGAGAGCATTATGTAAACTGACCAAATCAGTTTTTGTAATTCACTATACGAATTGCATAAAAGTGGTTACGCGACCATTGTGTAGCTGGAGCAATCGTCCACCGTTATCGATATCTTGCAAGTTCAACTCAAGGTGACGAGCTATGCTAAGCCTGTCCACTTGCACACTGATATCTCCACCAATGACAGTGATGTTTGGGAGTTAACAGATATGATATCCAAGCAACGATTTACTTCCTCTGTGTGTGCATGTGGGTGTGATTCGTCGATGGACTTTGTCAGATGAATTGCACAGGACGACTTGCAAGGGACATCCAATAGAGGAAAGAACGTCCAGTTTTTAATGCACTACTCATAAGGTTGCTGAAAATCCTTCGACAGCCCACGACCGGTTTCGCCCTTCTTGGGGCTCATCAGATAGGCGCAGTCCCCGAGGTTCCGTCAACCTTATGTTCTACTTGAAACCGAATTGCACGAGATTAGCGAAGTACACTCATTTGCAAACTAATTTGGTTCTTTCGAGAGACTCACCTGGAACCTAGCTGAATCTCCCGTTTGTAATGTGTCCAGGTCGCTTCGGGCCTGAACACTGTCCCAACGGCCTCTACCCCACCGGAGATTTGCATTCGAAGCAGAGCGGAGAGTGATGGATTTGTCAGTTCAGCGAGTATTGATTTTATTTATTTATTTATTTTGTTGATTTTTATCTGAGATGCGACGCGAGTTCCAAGGGAGCCCAATCTGCTAGCCTAAACAACCAACTACCCTCCTTTACATAATGCATATGCCTAAAGACGGCCAAGTAAATTCCATATCAGGATTTGGCGGTCGATTTCGGGGTTTCTGAGCTTACCGACATCTGCTAACGCGCAAGGTGTATCGGATTCTCAATGCTGTCGGTTGGACTCACAAGTAGAATACTGTTGGATTAGGAGTGGATAAGGGAAAATATACATGAGGGAAGAAAATGGAAAAGTCAGTAGTAGCCCGTTTCCGCATACCCACTCTGCTGTATCTGGTAGTTAAAGCGATCCGGCCGATGGCCTCGAGTGTAGACCAAGCGTGAGAATAATTCTGATGTACTGGCTGAGATCTCCTCGAGGACGACTTGAACCTTCCCCAAAAACCGTTCGCATAAAAGCCTGACCTTAAGGCAACTGTGTTCGACAAGAAATGCCAGAATGTTTCAATTTTTGGGGACAAGTCACTCACTCATGTTGCGGTCGTCAAACTAGATGTCGTTCGATTTCTGTCGGTTGATCAACTTGGTGTAGGTATCATATGCTATCTTCTAGAATAGTTGCATGATGAGCTCTTGTCCCTTGCATTTCAGTCTATCCCTTTTCATAAGAATTGCCAATTGGGGATGCTATATCACACTCTCCCATGTTTGCTTTGGCCAACGAAGCTCATGTTGGTCATTTTGACATTCATGTTTTCTTGCCAAACTCGAGACTCTTCTCCCTCAGTAGTCGGTTGGTAGCGCTAGGTTTACCGGTTTGATTTACCTGGCAGTAGCATCGAACGGACTTGTCAAGTTGTTCAATAAAACGTCCGTTTTATGTGTGCATTTCGTACGTCAAGGTTTACTAATGACAGGTCTCTAACACAAACCCGCATTACGTACGCGGTAATTGTCGCAGTCTATTTTTCGCCATCCGGCAAATAGAGACGGAAGCGTGCACTGTCTGTATGTTGCTTGTGTGTGTACTAAACTAATTTAAGGTGTATCCAAATCGTCGTGCACACTGAGCGAAGCACTTCTGCTTCAATATCCGCAATATCTTTTTTCCGTTCTTCGCTTGAGCAATAGGACACCAAGAGAATAAGATTTTTCAGTTCTAAACCGTGAATGACAACCTTTACCTTGTGCCATTCGTGCTAGTGTTACGTAAGAAAAATTCTGCGTGAACTCCATTTTGTAAGCCAATGTCCATTTGCGGTCGTCAGAAAAGAATATCTGAATTTCTTTATACCAATCGTGCTGGCAGCAAATACACACAGCTGGGTTATTCACAAATCCCGGATTTCAACTGATGTAAGTAGTTGCTTACGTTCTGGTCGAATTTTCCGTTATTCTACAGCACCCGTCTAGAGTGCAGGATTCGCCGACTTCAGTGGGCGTGATCCCTCCCCGCGCACGTTCAAAACGGCGAGCCCCACCACCTCCTATCTCTGAGAGTATGACAGCCGAACAGTCTTCGACCCTCACAGATTCCTATGTGTACCAGACCGTGGAAACTGCTCCTGATCGTCAATTACCCTCTATATATTCGGCTTCTCCAGCCAATACTGATCAAGTTCGTATGGAGGATACCGGAACGGATCAACGGTCATCCAATTTGGTTATCCGCTACGAACGATCCTACGAACCTCCGAATGGTGCAGTGCACACAAGTACGCCTACGGAGATTCCGCCTCGCCCTCCTCCTCCCAAGATTGATACTAGTAGGTCCATTTTGACTAGACCTCTCCCTGGGGAAGAGGAGAAAAGAGCTGCCCGCAAACAGCTGTTAGAGATGGGACTTGGACTGCCACCCACACCGAAAGTGCTTGTGAGTCATTGATGATGGACACAGCTGTCTCCATGCTAACCTTCATTCGTATTCTTATGTCAGAAACCTACCCCTAACTATGTGGAGTTTGACTGTTGCCTAGATAATCAGAGTAATTGTACCAAATGGAGCTTCGTTCACCCTTCGCCACTGTTGGTTTTTTCGTTTGTGTAACCTAATACTCTCAATGCCTAGCTAGTATGACATTTGACTTCATGTTTTCAGTGTTTATATTTATCGCGTAAAGCCAGGTTCATAGAACAATACTGTACATGGTTCGCTTTTATTGAAGATGACTTGCGATGCCTACCTCAAAGATCCCCAGTGGATGGAGACCTGTGAACTCCTGGCTTGTAGTTAAATGCACTGCCTTCGATCTTTGGACGACGGATCCGAATTATGATGTATTTTTCATCCATGCTTGACATCGCAGATGCATTATTCATGCATTGGTGTCATCTGGGCTTTCGTGCATCGTCATCATCATGAAAGACAACATCAGTGTTGGCAGTGATGCCTCACTGCCGTACAATCATAAGGTTCGTCTAGTTATATATATATATATATATATATAATTACACAGAGTGAAAAGAAGAGAGAGTGGGTGAGGGAGAGTACCTAGTGCTGGCCTATGTCAAGCATTCTGAGGTGCCTAGACCTCCAACCGCTCAATAAGACAATCTGTAAAAAAAACTGACAGCACGGACGCTACTGACATTGACCAGTCGCCATTTCTTGCAACGTCTCCAGCTAAAGCACAGGCGGGGTCACGTGTACCCCATCCTGGAAAGCGTACAACACCAACAACACCCAAACTCTTCGTGATCTCTTTCACGCCTCATACGTGACTTCTCAATATCTTCTTCGGTATGTACTACAGAGAAGCTCGCAACAGCACATCTGTTCACTCAGGATGGGAACCCGATAACTGATCACCAGAGGATTCAATCGATGCTGACAGGTGGATTTGACTTCGCAGCACTGCAACTGAAAACCCCCGTATTGCACGAAGCTTCTCTCGCTCTCTTTTTACCAACCCCTGCACATGATCGCAGTTTGGAGTACTAATGAGTTTTTTAAAGAATAACCCCAAAGATCTGTTGATTACTTAGCCCCAGAAAGGATTTTGTCGAGAGAGTTATCTTGCGTTACCGCTATGATTTCCAGTGGTTATCAAACCCTCGTTTTTAGGTTTGCTTTGTGAACGTCTGGCGTCGACAACAACAGGCAACAGTATGCCACGTTGTACGCTGTCTGAACACTGAACCAACAAAGTTATACTTTGTCGGTAACCCCTCCTCGGTAGAAAACCTTTTTATTACCGTCGCGTATGAACTGTGGAATACTTTCGCTCGCATATGTTTCCCTTTACATTCTTAGTATCTTGTTTTTTTCTCTCCCAATGCAGATGGGTGCTTGTTTCATGTTACTGTTCGAAGGTTGCCCTTTGAAAGTCAACGCGACGGCAACTTGGGTCAATCCTGAGACGAGAAGTACGTCACTCCCATTCCTTTTTTTATCTATTCTGCAACTGGGGCAGCTGGTAGCTAGGGGCTTTCAATAACTGGATGTTTATATAGTTGAATCACCCCAAGGCAAGGAAACGCTGAAAAATGTGGTAATCGTTACTTAAACAACATCGACATGCTGGGTAGAACTGAGCGAGAAATCCAACTGTTTAGTGACCCATCTAGACCCATCAGTCAGTCCCGGCGCCCAAAACAGGGCTATTGCCTTTCGTACCATGAATGATATGGATGGCAATGATTTTGGAGACGGCGTATAGGTTCCTAACATTTGTTCAAATTCAGCGACGCAAAGAGCGCACAGCTGTTCCCAATCAATACTGACTGAGAAAAATGTGCGTCTTCTAACCCGGCCAAGTTCAATCTAATCTACGAGTCCTGGTACATCAATGGAACACAAGGACACTGAAACTAGTCGTAGGAAGCTTCCACCCTAATCCCACAAATCCATATTTCACCCTTCAAACTGCGCTACGTGCTGTGAAATTAGGTTGCCCGATGTTCACCTTCAAAGTTGACACACCTATTTCCACAACCGTGTGTTGTTCATTGATCTCGGTTTTTCACGCAGCGAATATGAGCCCAATTGGACGCGTGGGCTATACCTGGGGGAACGAGATAGCTCAGTGGTTAGTGCGTGAACTTACTGATCAGAAGGTCCGTGGTTCCAATCCAACCTCTGCCTCTTGACTTCCCCTGTTCGGGTTTGGGCAACCTGGCAGTATCCTGCTGTTCAGGTTTGGGCAACCTGGCAGTATCCTGGTTCACCTGCTTCCTTCTGGTGGTGTCAGTTAGGCACCGAAGGGGTGCTACTTCGCTCCGCAGTTTCCTGACTTCAATGTTCTCGTTTCAACTTCTTCGATTTTCCTCCGTGCATCCTTGCATGACATGACCACCAAAGTGTGTCACACACAGTGTGGACACATAAGTGTGTCCACTTGCCAAGTAACATTATTCTTTATCGCTATGGTCACGTGTTGCGACCCGCTCATCCTGTCTATTCCAATCAGACCAAACAATTCCCACCAGCATCCGCATCTTGGCGACCATCCATTTAGTTTGGCTCGGTGATCATGATACCAGCTGATTGACCAGTAGATCCACTTACGGTTCGGATTCACCTGTAACCATTCGATTGTTAGGCTAGAGCAGTATCCCACCCTCCGTGCTTCTATGCACCGAAAGAGTGCCACGATTGAATAATTTGATCTGTGTATTTTCAACTGCACCATTGATAGAAGACACTGATACACACATCAAAAATATTATCTAATTAGGTCACGAAAGATCAAGTGTATGTATCAGAGTTTGGAAAAAATGCTTCCACAGTTACTGGAGATTTGAAGAACTGAACAGGTGAATTGTGTTTAGTTGACAAGTGGTGATGATTCGGAGCACTAGTGCTGCACACCAAGCGTGTATTTCATGAGCTGATGTTTGGTTGCAGTGAACCTAGTGGTCCATTCCAAAATCTTAGAGTGCCGAATCTTACAAGGGTCTTATAAAATGACTATTTTTAATTATTTCGGATAGCAGCGTCCACCACATATGCATGCTATCCCTACAGGCAATCAGTTCTTAGTCTTTCCATCGTGTTTTCGATGCGTCGCGTAGGGTTTGATGCTGTTTATGTCTCTGGTATAGACTTTTCTCAGTAAACAAACCCACGGTGCACTTCTTGATTTTTCCCAGGTCAAGTCATTCTTTTTGGCACAAACGACGGAATCTATTTTCTCAACCTCGTCGACCTTGCCGATTGCACACTTGAACTGGTAAGTTTGTTGGCGTGTTCCTCCCTCTCTCTCTCTCTGTGTCTCTCTGTTTACACCCTCGTGCCCATTCTATATGATGATGAGGATGACGGTAGTATTTGGTTCATGACTGACGCATTTATTAAACGCTCCACAATCTTGTGCGCTAAATCGACCGGCCTTGAATCGATGATGGTCCGTCACATTTTCCTCGTTTCTTCGAGAAAGGATGGGTGGAACCAAAACGGTCAACAGGAATTTTTCGGTGTGCGGTTTCCAAAATTCTGTATGTTTACATGTGCACACCTGGTTGTTGCCTTTCTGTCTGCTTAGTCTCCAGTTTGGAGCTTGGTTTCATTTTAAAAATTGACCACGCCAGCGATACTCGCATGTCATTAATCAGGCTAGGTACACTGCTTCAAAATTAGGACTGAATAAATTGCTTTTGAAGTGGTGTAGATCGAAGAATCGACACATTCCTCAGTTAATGCTAGGCTGGGTTTGGAAATCATGTGAACGGCACGCGTGTGACGTGTGCATGAAAGAATGACATTTTCCAGTCTGTTCGAATAATTTTCTCTTTTTGTTTCCATGTAGCTCATCGCGCGACCTTGTGGTTGGTTATCGGTACTGAAGGATACGATGATGTCCCTGTGTGGACAACCTCCTAGACTGTACAGTCATAATTTAATCTCTCTCATGAAATCCAAAGGACATACCCAACCGAAGTTTCTGCAAAAGTAAGTGTATTTCACTGTGTGCTGCTGCTATATGCACACGCGTTCTGTTCGCTCGATTCAGGTGAGCGAATAGGCTTTGGCCACAGACATCTGTACTTTGATTGGAGTAAAAAGTAGTCGGCACAAAATTGGAATTCAGCCTCACAGGCCACCCGGTCGGAAGTTGATCACCTTTTCCTATTACGTTATTTCGGGAGCTTCTATCACATTGTATTCAGCTTAAACAACCCACTCTGTGTTTCTGTGGACTAAAAGCCGATCGGCGGTAAATCTCAGCAGTACGCTGCACACTTGGTTTAAATGAACTTCCCGTAGCGTAATCACCCTCCACTCTTGTCGGTCAGTTAGACGTTACCCTTTCTGGTCACATTTCCCCCCTGAACAATGAACAATTGCCCCAAAAGATATTTCACTCTGATCTGACGACCCAAAGCGCCTGGCCATGTACAAAATCGTGATACTGTTCGTCGGCTATGATGAACCTATCGGTAGAGGCTCGTTTGACCGACTTTTGCCGTAACTGGTCTTGATATTATTGGTTGTTGATCAGGTGGCTGTTGATCTGTTCGCCGAGCTTGGCAATTGGATTGCAAACGTTTCGTCACCATACGAGGAGACATCATCAGTGCGCAGTTGAGTGGGTCTTGATGTTAGTGATTTTTACTAAATTCCTAGTATCGGATTCAACCTTTTTCATGCCTTCATTCTGCAAGTCTTGCCTTCTGTGTATTCATGTTTTTTCGTTTTCCTTTGAACAACTGTGACGTTGAACGGTTTACCCAAACTGACGTTTTCATGGATACTCAGCGGCAGTTGCAGTGCTGCTTGGAGGTCAGCCACTTTTTACTTCCTTGTCTCTCAAAGGTGTGGTGCATATTTCTGTATGTTTCCACACCCCTAAGACATCTACCGCGTACTTTCCAACTGTTCCTTTTTATACAATGACAGCGCGGTGCTATCTCGGAGTTCTTTCGTTTTGTGTAAAGACTGAAAGCGTCCCACTGAAGTCTTGCTTTTTCAGAGTCAAACGTACCTTAGAGGGAAATCATCACAAAGAGACTAGACCTTACCGTGGTGTGACGGTTTATGTGCTTTCGTGACTAACTGAGGTATACTAGGTGGTGTCTGTGCAAACCTCGGAGTTTCGTACCAGGTTGGTCGGTAGTTGCACATCTGACGAACAGTCTCATGGCCCTCCAAGTTCGGGTTAAGACATGCGTGTTGACTTGTTCTACAAACATCTTCAAACATCATCGACTTATGGTTAGGCTTTTAATTTTAAGGTTTTGACCGAGGACCCCCAATCGTCCTCCTGTCGAGCTTTGGGTGCCCTGGCGGTATTCCAGCCCATACTCCAAACATGGTACTTAAAAATAACAGTAATCTCATGCTAGTCGGCCGTTGTGTGGTGTGACCAGCCAGGCCGCTTTATTTGCTGCATAGAGCGAGGCGGAAACATGCTACTATCGACGCCTCCCTCTTTCTTTTTTTCTCTGTTCTATTTCCCCGCCACCCAAATTTGAATACTCTCTCCGCAGATCGAAGCATTTGGACTTATCGCTTTGTTCGCCATGTATCACGCTAAGCTGCAACTTCGGTGTACGACTTCAGTAAAAACCGTAGAAATTTCGAAGTTAGTTCTCTCATCCTGAAAGCCGGTCTACTTAACTGCCTTTAATTTGTGTACCCTGAGGTAAGCAGAACAACAGGTTACTCTTGCTCGTACGTTGGATTCTCTCTTCATTGATGTATGCTATCTGTCAGAAACAGTGATACAGGTGCCAACTGCGCACCACTGCTGATGACGACGCCGTGGCAGCTGGACATACTGAGGTGGACATGGTATTGAGAGATCCAGCGGAAGTCCTTAACGTCTTTCCAGCAACTTCTCACTTTTGAGCATTAATGTTGCATCCAGACTATTTGAAAAACTTGTGAATACGTTACACCAGTTATGCGAGGAATTTACTTTTTAATTAATAAGGTGACGCGCCAATCTCATACAAACCGGTTTCTTTGGTTGCATCAGTTGTAGAGACCTGACGAGGAATGCGCATTCCATTCGATTGGAGTAACACTATAAGGTCACAGTTAGTTCGAAAAGTCAACGCCCTCCATTTCCACGCAAATATTGCAAGTTCCGATTGAGACATACGTTTCTGCGCAGGGCAAGGTCACGCTCAGCTGACATTTCTTGCCTGCCGGTGATCTGAATGCCAAACCTCCCTGTTTTGAACCCACTTGTTTTACGTGCCGTGTGAAGAGCACATTGTGACGATCACAATTCACACAGCCCGCGCATCCATCTTACCGGTATGTGGAGATATCACCATCTCAGCTGGAGTGTGTGCATTTGAGACACCGGACAAGAAGTATACCTGGTCACTTGAGCGAATTTTGTACACGGCTGACATGCGGCTTATCAGTGTCCTGACAGGTAAACATGTCCCCAGAAGTAGGCAATAGTCAGACCAACGAATCATCTTCCATCCCCGTTGTAAAGGGATACTATCACACGCCACGAATCCATTTATTCAAACACATCGTATGACAGCCAAGCATCATTGTTGAGCACTGATGTGCCGTCCATGATGATGAAGAACTGAAGGCTGAATGATTCCTCCTGTGGTTGTTTACTCACCATTGAGAACGGTATTTATCGAGGAATAGCCGTAGTCAGCTTGCTCTCGCTTAAATTGAAATGCACGTTTTGTTAATTATTCCCTACTCGTGACGCGCGTTCGATTATCTCTTCTGGTTCCCCATAGTCTGGCGGGGACAGTGGTAGCTGAAACGTGTCCTTGCACTAATTGCGAGCAAAAGATCCAACTACTCTAATTAATGATGAAAACTACTTCATATTGCATAACTGCTCCGTGTAAGGCATTTCATTTTGTGTTCTGAAAGGCTTCTTCCAATTGGAAAGCATCCCACAGTTGACTAGAAACACTAAAGCGAAGAGTGCAATGATGACACCGCACACGTTAACCTAGATTAGAACAAACGACACCTATCGAGTGAGCGTCTGCTGTGACCAAATAGCATCAGACCTGTGTCAAGGCTCAGCACAGAGCCCATGCCCTTGTTGTGACCCGTGTCTCAAACCCACACGATCAACTCATCCTCCTGCACACGCCGGTGCTTGACAGTCTGTGTACGTTTTTTGTGAGTGATGTAGATCTTGTGCCTCTGTGTAGGTGGTGTCGTCCTTACCCTTTAGGATCCAGTGTGCGGCCCTTTATTAAGTGCTGGTCGGTGATAAACCAACTTATTTGCCATTTGAGATCATCGCAGCAAATTTCTGGGTACAACAGTGCTATTAACGGTGACTCTCTACCACTGCAATAAAAACCTCACTTGAAGGCATTCCGTTCTGTCATAGCCGTTCTTCCGTTGGGACTGCTTGGTCGGTCTTATTAAATTACTGTTATGATTCATACATAACGGTTTTCCACATTTGCAGTAGCACTAGCCGGGACAGCCTCGTTCCATCGCTACCTTCTTTATGATTTCTTCCCAGAAACATGGGAGGTAAATATTATATTAACAAAAATTTCAATTCGCTTCACTACCTTCTGGGTTCCCATTCACTTCGCTATCGTTTGAACAGTTTTCCACTTGTCCTGGATCGCCAGGTCAACGCTTTTGTTTCGTTGACATCCGACGAAATCATGACCATTGCCTTTGTTGTGTAGTTGGTAGTTATTTGTGCCGCATATTCGCTAGGTGCATTTTCGGTTTGTCTTAGCATCTGTTTATCTTTGACACATGAACAGGCGCTTTCAACCTACAACTAAAATACCAAACACACGTGGATGTCACATCGCCAACGTCATACGCAACCCGTACAATGGAATGAAGTATCTATGTGGTGCCATTGACAAATCAATTTTTGTCATGGAGTGGTATAATCCGCGAAGTACTTTCATTGAAGTCAAGCGGGTAAGTGACTGTCCATAATATTTTTAGCATGATTGTGTGTTGGTTCACTGCCAAGGGAAGTTTTGTTCCTCCGCTTTCTGTGGTTTAAATCTGTGTCCTCTGTATTAGTTCCTTTTTTGCTGACGTAGTTCCTTCACGTCCTACTGCCATTGCTTTCGCCTTCTATCAATCAACGATGGTTGGTTGGGTGTATCTCACCGTTACGCCCCTAAAATCAGTCGCCGCACGACTGAACAACATTTTTACACAGACGATTAGAAGCATAATCCAAACAACCACCTCTTCTCCATTTCACTTTCGCGGTTATTGTTGTTGCATCGTCGTCGCATTCCGGAAGCCATCATTATATTCTTCATAGGCAAAGTGTCAGCGTTGGTACTGATGCTCCACCACCCCACAACGACAACGTTTGCCTGATTCAAAGCTTCAAAGAGGAAATGGGAAAAGAGTTGATGTGATAGGGTCCTGGAGCTACCCTACGAATGGTGTTCTTACTCCCATGTGATTCATCAAATAATTCCGAAATAAACTGACAGCCCGAACGCCATTGAAGACACCTATACGCCATTTTCTGTAACCTATCCACCCAAGCTCAACTCGAGCCATATCCTTGAGGGTGGACCACACCAGTAACACCTGAATTCCTTGCAATCTCTCACATCCGTCTGTCATCCCCTACTTTTTTCCACCTCTAATTTTGCACGATTGTCAATCAGGCATGGAAACCACAGTCGTTTTGGCAAACGGTCTTTCGGCGTGCGTAGAGCCGAGCCACCCCAGTTGATGGTGCTGGATGTTCTTGCGTAGCTGTTTTACTTGCTGCGTGACCAGTTCCCTGCTTCCTAGGTACCTCGTTACAAATTCGTTGATGGCATCCGGCACCGGGGACACTCTTGGGGCGTCGCTGTTCAACAATTGAAAATATCTCACATCATCTGTTCACGAAAGCCATGTTTCGCAACCGTACAACAATACAGTACACTGCGACACTTGAAACCTGTTGATTTGCATTTTCCGATGCCGCAAATGATACAAACTAACAAGTGTGATCCGGGCCTTTGAGGATCGTGCACTGGCTACAACAGAAAAAACACTTCCATCAGAGCTAACACAATTACCGGGATGTGGGGAAACCTACAAAACCTCCGGTGCCTTCTCTGAATTGCAAAGGACATGTTCAGAGAGCGGAAATTCTGAAGCACGACTTTGAAGGTGTAAGACGTGTGTCGAAAGGTGGTACGATTGTGGACAGTTCATTCAACAGAGTTTTATTGTGTCTTCGTCATCAAAGATGTGGACCATATCGTCCTCGTACTCCAGATCGACAAGAGTCCTACCTGCAACAATTTGAACGCCTTGGTTTCGAAGACCTAGCACTCGCCTGATTATTTCATCATTGTTGAAGTGGATATCCTTGTCTGACACCAATTTTTATGGGGAAGCTTTTGGAGAGCTCACCATACACTCTCACCCTTCCAGAAGTATGTGAATATTGGGATTGGATTATGTTTACGAACTTCTGGGGCATACCCTGTTTAGCAAGTGTAGTTAACAGCACTGACCTGTCGACAGAATCGAACGAACCCTTTAAGTCAAGGAATACCAAGATTCTGCGTCGTCTGTAAATTTGGCGTTGCTCTAACACTTGACAGAGTGTGTGGTCGGAGCAGCCTTTAGCCGGTCGGAACTCTACTTGATTCTCATAGATCAAGTATTCGCGTGTTGCCTTGAGGCGGCAAAGAATCGGTGACGACAGAAGACCTGTTACAACGGAAGTCGGACTAACACCTCTGTGATTACTACATTGCAAATGGTCGATATTATCGATCGATTAGCCGCAGTTGCCTGGGTCGGTCTGTTTCTTCCAGGTTACCCGTATAGACTAGACAGACATTGACGAAAGAATTTATCGCCACCCTTGAACTGGGGGCGAGATGGCCTAAGTGGTAAGAGCGTGAATTTACTGACCGGAAGGTCCGTGGTTCGAATCCGACCTCCGCCACTCGACTTCCCCTGTCTAGGTTTGGGCAACCTGGCAGTATCCCAGCCCTCGTGCTTCCTTCGGGTGGCATAGCAGCTAGGCACCGAAAGGGTGCTACAGCTGAACACTTTCTTTCTTTCCTTGAACTGAGCTGAAGGAATGTCGTTGGAAGCAGCTGCAAGATGATGACACTTGAATAGAGACAGATAGTCGGACACTTCTAAGGCTAACGGAGGCTGCATATTCACAATTCTTGTTTCCGTCGGAAATTGAACTGGAAATCACAGATGGCTAAGTGGATTGTATTCTTTCGAATGATATCCTGTGCTTGTGATCTGGTTGCTACTGCGGCCCTCATTCCACTGACAAGAGGCTCCTAAGGGCCTACTGAACGAATCATATGGAATGTTCCGTGGACATTCCAGTATTTTTCGCTTCTTCCTTTTTCCCGGGGTTTCAAGTTCACTAAGCTTCCTCTTATTTGGTGCCGGACTGTGCGTCCCGTCGGGTCGTGGTTTCGACCAGAAGTAATCTGTCGCTGGCCCTCCAGTTCCTCTATGTAATCCAATTCTTAAAAGTGATAAACGTCCTGTTATCACGTCTATCTTTGGGTACGCGACTCTAGCGATGATTAATTGGGTCAGCAGGCAAACATTGGAGATATTGGTCCTGACTTCATGGTTCATGAGCCTTTCTCTGGGCAAGTGGTTTTCACTTGCTTCGCGTAGACCTGTAAACAATGAAATTCAGCGACGCACAAGGGCATGATTGGAGTTCATGAAGACAAATCAGCAGGAGGCTCAAGAGGTTAGAGCACGAATTGACTGATCGGAAGGTCCGTGGTCCGAAATAGACCTCTGCTTCTCGACTTCCTGCTTGGGCAACCTGGCAATATCTCAACCCTCTTTCTTCCTTATGGTGGCATGGCAGCTAGGCACCTAAGAGATGTTACAGCTGAACGGTTTTTTTTATCAGAAGGCGTGACAGGCACCAGTGGGCCGTGGTCATCGTTAACCATTGGCAGTATGGTCTGAGTTTGGACCCGGTTCGTTGATAGCACTGCCTAGTCAAACCACTTCTGCTTTCTCTGAAATGCGTACTACAGAGGAACAGTCTTTGATCAACACGAAGCTACAATAGGTTCCCTTCGTTGTGTGTCAGATCGAAAGTGACCATGCAGTTGAGCCTTATCAACTCCAGGCCCACCTCCCTGGACGTTTGTGCCACCAGCCAGCGTAACCATGTCTGAACTTCTAGACCAACCCGAGCATCACAAAAACTGTCTTTAGAAGATGCACGACTGCAGTCCCTCGGAGAATAAGGAAGTACAATAAACAGGGAGCGGTGAACCCTTTTCGAGAAGTCACAGCTCTGTGTTCTTTAGCGATCCTTGTCATCTCTTTTCAGTGAACTTCAAATATATGATAGTCTTGAGTTTGTGAGTGACGAATTTCTGTCAGCATTTTCATATGGGGACGAGATAGCGCTTCGTTCAGGGCGCGAACTTACTGAACGGAAGGTCCGTTGTTCGAATTCGCACTCTGCATCTCGACTTCCTTTGTTTGGAATTGGGAAACCTGGCAGTATCCCAGCCCTCGTGCTTCCTTCGGGTGGCATGGCAGCCAGGCATCGAAAGTCGTTACAGCTGAACTATTTTCTATATGGTGGGCAGCCCATCTTTAACTCTCTTCTAACCAATATTTTGGATCCGCAGAACCAATTGTGTTGCTGTTATTCGGCTTTGCCTATCCAACCTGAACCATAATGATTATGGCTGCTCGTAAGAATTAGTTTTCATTGGTACTGCATGAAATAATTATTGGGCCAACTAGCTTTCGTCGGATATTTCGGCTGTCTTGCTGTAGGCACTTCAAAATTAGGAAGATAATCAAACAGATGCGATCGCTCATGATGTCAGGTGATCCAGAGTGATGTTTCAGCTAGGTTTAGTTGCAGCGTCAAATTTGACCGCGGTATGCGAAATGGAGGTTCAATTGCCTTGAGGTACAAAGCATGCGGCCTGAACTAAACGCTAGCTGGTCTCACTGTTCTACCCTTTTATATTGCGTAGTATTTAATGTTCGCTGGATCGAATACATGGAAAGTCAGGGCAAAACTATGGGTTTAAAGAAAAATTGATCGTTTAGCTGTATCACCCTTTCGGTGCCTAGCTGCCGTGCCACACGAAGGAGGGCTGGGATACTGCCAGGTCGCCCAAGCCTAGACAGGGGAAGTCGAGAGGCAGAGGTCGGGTTTGAACCACGAACCTTCCGGTCAGTAAATTCGCGCTCCAACCACTTGGTCCAACTTGCCCCAAAACTATGGGTCCAAGCATAACTAATAAAGCTGTGGACAACTGCGACTTGCTAATCATGAAGAGTAGATTCCATTGATGTCCTTGTGGGACTCTTATTAATTTCATTGCTCTTAACATTCGAAAAACCGCACTATACTGCTTTCGTTTGGGCGTCTGCAGTAGACGGTACGCCATATATTGACCGTCTTACTTCCGTGTTCCATCTAGTGACGCAGATTCGTTCTCCATGTGTGATTAATTTTCGGACCATCCGAAAGCAGCTATCGCTTTAGCGGAGATGGGTTAATTGCTCGACGTGGGTCGCGTCTGTTTCTAGCCTTTTTCAGGCTTGACATGATTACTTCAGTAAAAATGAAGTCGTTGATTTATAGTTTACATTATTCTGGGCCATCTTTGTTGCTTTTGCGACTGTGGCCTCTCAGTGAACGCCTGATCCAATTTGTGCATGAGGCCGTCAACTTTGATAATAAGTCTAGTATTAGCCGTCTAACATGGTTTTGTTTGATAAAATGGTGACAACGAAAATGCACCGATCGAACGTGATTTGACCAGTTTGTCCAAACCAAATTTACTGTGCCTGCGCGTACTAGGAGTACAGCAACTGGTGGGCTCATCTCCAGATCTGCAACACTGGAGGGAGTCGAGTGTTGAAAGCAGTTTATCTCCTGTGACCTTCAATAATTACATGCTTTTTATTCGATACGCTCATTCTGGACAAATCAGGTGGATTAGTGTACTGTTAGCACGAGTTTAGGGAACAAGTTCGAGGTTACGAAAGGTGCAGTCAGTCGGTGGCTTGTTGGCTGAGCTGAGCAACTTGTTTGCAAACGTTTCATCACCAATCATCAGTGCGCTTTTGGGGAGCGTAGTGGTGAGTAACGGAGCGGTGAAGCGTAGCCGCAACCACTAACTCACCCTACCCTCCCCTAATAACGCAATGATGATGTCACCTCGATTGACGATGAAACGTTTGCATTCAAATCGCCCAACTCAACGAACAAGCCAATAACTATCTGAGCTACCAACATTTTCCCCTATAGGTGTAGTCAGTGATCTATGTCGGGGAAAATGGTCAGCCCGCAAAGAGCGAAAATGCTGAAGTCAAACCAACTACCCTCCTCAACATTTGCTGATCTTGTACCGTTCAGTGGAGTGGAATTCGCGGAACATATCCAGCCTGTTGTCCAATCTTAGGAGTCGGGCTCCATAGAACAAATCAAGTAGTTCGATAAATTGCCGAGGGTCCAGTGAGATACATGTTATTCCGTGCACCATTCGAACATAACTAAGTAAATAATAACGAGTAACTAAATGGACAATTTAAAACATAACTCTTTACTTTATTGGAAATGAAGTATCACGGGGAGAGCGCTATACGTTGCGATGCATGAGTTTCCTGTCGTTAGGGTAGCCACATTCTACGAGTGGCAGAATATTGAAGTCACTGCACTTGGTGATTTGGGCAAATTCGTATTCGAATTTGTACCTGTTGTAAAGAGTTAAAACATGTTTTTCACATTGGTGTTTTTTCCAGTGTCTGAACTTCCATGTCATGTTACAAGCCATAATAAAAACTGTTACAACTCAACAAAACTAATGGTGTTTTACCATTATTGATATCCGAGCATGGTCTGCCTCTATTGACGAATAGCCGAAATATCCTAGAAAACAAGGCTTTATGATGATTCTGCGCCTCTTACCACTCGTTGCTGGTACTTGTTTCATTTCTTTTTATTCTATCTTTTTCGGTGACTTTGTCAACACAGGTTGCGGTGCCCAACATGCCCAGTCCCGTGTTGAATTTCGACCTCATCATTTGTCAAGACCAACCGCTTCCTCTGGTCTGCCTCGGTGTATTTGCCACACCGGATCCGCTGTGTTACAAACTACATTTGGTTAACCTGAATGATGGTGGCGTCGAGTCGTCCACCAACAGTCCTCTCAATCGTGAGTTTATTGTTTATTCAGTTTGCAAATAATCTCTAACAGTGTGTTATTGTTGTGATGAACTATTGTTAGATACCGTTCTACTTGGGCAACTCCCTTCATGGATCCAAAACAGCCACTTTTGTAAACGTCATTTGTCCTATTCAATTCAAGGACTGACTCCCACCATCGATTACGTGCCTTGTTTGCAGATATTCTAAACACCTGAAACTCCATTGATCCTTCATTGTGGAGTGGGAGTGGGCAGATATGCTTTTTAAGCGCACTAAATGTTCTTAGGTTCTCCTACTTCCCATACTTCAAAACGCAGTTTCATGCAGACACACTTGGTTCTTTTAAACTGGCTAGAAGTATAGTAGTTTTCCTTGTAAACTGGCTAGAAGTATAAGTAGTTTTCCTAGTGTCAATTTTTTCCCAGTAATCTGAAATGTTGTTCCCCACCCGTTCCACTAAACACAGCCGATACTAGACGTATGTTCATGTTTTGTCACATTTTCTGTTGTTCAATAGATGAGGATCAACTGCAAGTAATCAAAGTGGTCCAACTGGAGTATAACACACTTCTGATTTGCTTTCCGAGTAAGTAATGTGATTGTCGGTGGATTAATCATGTTTTATTTTTCATTGCACCCTGTATTTGGCGTCAAAGTGGTATATCCCCGAACCTCTAGGGACGTGTGCGGACTGTGTGAAGCCGGTTGTGAGACTTGGTCTGTCCGAGCAGCGGAACTTAGACATCTTCAGGTGTTTGACAATCGTTGTCTCGGAACCATAGCTCGTGTGGATTGGTGTCGGCGTATCCGTAACGAGGCAATTAGAAAGCACGTTTTGGGTTGAGCAACGGGTACTTCCATCGAAGGATGTGTCCAGCACCAGAAGTTCGGTTGGTTGGAACATGTGTTGTATATGCCGAACTAGCGTTTGCCGAAGAGTCCTGTTTTCCATTCCCAAATCAGAGTAGCGGAAGCAAAGAGGTGACCAACCTTTGACCTGCCAGAGGGGCATGAAAGAGATTGCGAAACGCTTGGGTGCTGTCGGTGCTACTCACCTTCCAGGGTCCCCACTGCGCCGGGTTGGGTACGCTGCAAGATATGGCTGCGAACCGATTTCAGTGGCGTTCTTGTTATCAGTTTCTGCCCTGATTGCCTGAATGAGTGTCTGGAGGGGTATGGACCTCAGAATGATTGTAGTAAGATAGCATCAAGTCCCTTCCACGTTCACGTTTATTCCTTTCTTCACAATATGGCTCAAATAAACCATGGTTGTACGGCAGCGAAGCATCGGTGTGTAACACTGATGCCATGCTGTTGATGATCTTGATGATGACTATTTGACGTTTTTGACCGGAGTAGAGTTTTGCTAGAACACTGATACCTAAAGACCAGTTTTTGCCTTTTGATACGTTCCTATCAAGGCTTACAGTATGTACAGTTTCATGTTAAACGAGATATCGGTACGAACTGTTCATCGGTCATCATGCGCGTGCAATCCACTCGGTGATGTTGCTGCTTTTGGGGTCAGTATGTGTTCGATTTCTGTTTTCTGTCCGTTGTATATGATGACTCGATTGCTTCAGCCTACTTCTCGTCAATCGTAAACGGTTCAGCTTAGCATTGCAGATCGATATTGCGGAAAGTGTTAACAAACTAGTTTTTGGGCTCCCGGAGCTCAGACTACAAGTCAGGTCCCCAGACACGCTTAGCGCGTCACCATTGCCTTGTTTAAGTTACCCACAGGCTTTGTCGAGATGATTGCACGACATTATTTCTCCGTCTAAGGTTTTATCATTGGAACTTTTTTCACGTAGTCTCCAGATGAAGGTTTTTCAAAGTCGAACCACACCTGTATTGATATCAGGGTTTTAACCCAGAGCGACCTTCGGTTCTGTTTCGATGTTCGCAATGTGTTGGAATATTGGTAACTCGGGTACTTTAGTTGGTATTTAATCAGGTGGCTGTTGATCCGTTCACCTAGCTTGGCAATTGTTTTGCAAACGTTTCGTCCCCATTCCTGGAGACGTTCTCAGTGCGCTGTTGGGTGGGCAGTCCATCTCTGCGTGCTTGTGTCTATATGGTTTACAAAGGGTAGCTTTTGCGCTGTAATCTGATTGGCCATTGACAATCATCGCACTTGGATTCTGTTTGATATGTTCATAATCTGTTGCGTCGTGGTTTGCATTTCTTGGTTTCTGCGGCCACGCTGCCATTGAAATTGCCTGCCATTATTGTTTATTCTGGTTGGTCCGTTCACGATCTGTATTGCGTTTTGGTCGGCTTCTCTGTTGTTTGGTTGGTTGATGGTGTGTCTCTTACTTTTAAAAATTTGTAGTTCTATTAATTCCTTCTTTGAATCCTTGTTGGACTTCGGGTTTTATGGTTCCAGATTTCCTTTTGTTCTCAGAGGTTGGTATTGCTTCTTCAGTCGAGTACCACGCCTCCATAAACTCGTGCTCTTTCTTTGTTTTTGCTTGGCCAAGTGTGCTTATGTTATTCCAATCGAATTTGTATCCTTGTCCCTCTTCGTATGCAGACAGGAACGAGAGTTGATCGTACATTGTCTTCTCCATTGCATTAGGTATCCCATTTGCCCGCTTAAGTTGTCTGATATTTTTGTAGGGTACATAGATTTGGTCATAACTACATGCCAGCTATGCGATTTTGTGGTGGAGCACCATGCGTCCAGAAAGCCCCTTATTTAACATGTTTCTGCACTCTAAGATCTCCAAGTCTTCTAGACTGACTTTCTATCCTTCTTTCTCTTCGCGTATTGAAGACAGATAGAGTAAATTATACCTTCCAAGTGTTGCATCGTGTTCTTTCATCCGTTTTTATAGTTTTTACTTGGTTCAACGTAGTATCTGCAGCAGTCCGCGCAGTTATTGCGGCAAACAAGATTGTTCCTGTAGCCGTCGGTTAGTGGGCTCCCAGAGTTCCTTTTTGGTAATAGTGGACATGCTGAGGTCAACCACATTGTTTATGTACGATAGGATGATTTGTTTGCTTTCTGCTCATGTTGGTTTTGCTGTCTGGGAGCCATTTTCTACAAACGTTTAATGAAATTTCGTGGGTAGCCATTGTTTCTCAATGCTCAGCACTGATGATTTTTCCTCGTCCTCCTCAGCTCAGCTATACTGCATAGTGTGCCCTCTTCCCTGATTAGAGTTTGGGCGCAACTCCTTTTGTACCTCATTGGGTGATTGCTATGGTAACTCAGTATCTGGTACGTGTACATTCTTTTCTGATAAACATGTTTGAAGATACCCATCTGCAGTCCCACAAATCATTACGTCCAAGAAAGACAGCTGATTGTTCCTTCCAAGTTCCAGCGTAAATCTGATGTCTTCGAATAGATTAGTTAGAAGTCTGTATGAGTGCTTCACTTCCAACCGTTTAATAATGACGAAGTTATCATCTACATGGCGGATCCAGAGTTTGAGGTCGATTATTGGCAGGGCCATATGCTTCAGTTTCTGTATTACTCCCTCGGCAATTAATCCGGATGATCCCATTGGGTTTCCTCTCAATTGTTGATAAATTTCTTCGTCGAATATGATGTATGTCTATTCAAAGCCCAGTTGTTGCGCACTGAAGGCGGTGTCGGTCCTTGGCTTCCCGTTCCGCCCTGTATGGTATATCAAAAGGCACGGTAGCTTGAGACAGTCTTATGGAGACAAAGGACAATTACTGCAACTGTATTTATAAGATTGGTACATAATGTTCCGTAAGCTGACGCTAAACCCCGGCCTATAAATGCTCCATCCAGAGTGGCGGACATGACCAATCAAGGGATGCCTTCGTTCAGTCCGCATATGACACCCGTTCAATCGACGTGATGTTCGGTTGTTAAGGACAGCTGGCCTCTGGACACCTCCCCCTTGGAGATGCTGTGCGTCGGATCGCTGTTTTTATTTGACTTTTTATTACTCGGGAAGCTTCTGTAGTTTGTTGGTCCATCCCTGGGGCAGTGAGCATGCTGATTTGGGATCTGGCGCAGATAGTTCTACTTCGAAGCGATGTCTTTCTGGACGGACATATCGTCTTTCGCTTGACCGCCAGAACTGATACAGTTGTCCAGGTACACAAACTTGTCTACTACCTCAAACTGCTCATGCGCAGTCATGAGCCTAGGGTTCGAACCTACTCAGTCTTGCAATAGCAATATTGTGGAGCGCATGCCAAACCGTAACTTGGGCGCTGCTACGGCCAAAAAGTCTATCCCGCACGTAATTGGCCAAAAGATCGATTACCGGTCCAGCGTCAAGTCGATCTCTAAGTGGTCGTACGTCTTGACCCACAGCCAATTATGATCCAATATCTGCCAGTTGCCAACGCCGCTTCCAGAAGTCGTCAGAATTTCCAGAATGTTGTTCCCTCATACAATTTTGTAACTACGCGTTGTACATATGTTTTCGATATGCTTTTGAACTTATGATCCAATATCTGCCAGTTGCCAACGCTGCTTCCAGAAGCCGTCAGAATTTCCAGAATGTTGTTCTCTCATACAATTTGTTAACTACGCGTTGTACATATGTTTTCGATCTGCTTTTGAACGTTAATACACACTGGTGATTGCTTTGACAGGAAGGCCATCTTGGTAGGTTCAGACCAAGAACTATGGTGAGAAAATGCCGTTATTAGAGTAGGCTCGTACCATATAATTTGGGGTTCAAATAGACTGTAACGCCTATTCGCTCTCTACTCTGCCTGTCAGTCTCAAAGAATATGGGGGAACAACGATTGTTCTGATAGCTGTAGTTCTACTGGGGCGGGATGGGCCAAGTGGTTAGAGCGCGAATTTACTGACCGGAAGGTCTGTGGTTCGAACCCGACCTCTGTCTCTCGATTTCCCCTGTCTAGGCGTGGGCAACCTGGCAGTATCCGAGCCCTCGTGCCTCCGTGTGGCATGGCAACTAGGCACCGAATGGGTGCTACAGCTGAACGGTTTTCTTGTATGTCTACTATGCTACACAGGTTTGTATCTGTTTGCTTTTTGGATCACAGTTCACTATCCCCTACGCATATCTATTCGAAAAGTCTTTCGGGCATGCAATGGGACCTTGTAAGAATAGAATTTGTGGTTGAATATTATGGACTGTGAACACAAAGCATCATAGAGTCTAGGTACGCTTTGGTTTTTAAAAACCTGATGAACCTCATTTCACAGGGCCAAGTGACGGTACTTAAAGTTGCCACCAAAAATTAGCACTTTCGATATCTGAATGCGCGTGAACATGTCCGTGATTTTCGCTAAGGAATTTATGAGTGGCAGTTGTTTTTCGCGGCTTTCTTCTCCTTCTCTGTGGTAATGTATCCTATGTTCATCTTGTGTTTACGCATCTTAAAGGTGGCATTTTACATGTGGGCAATAGCACTTTGGCTGTTCACTGCAACTACCTTCTGTTGCAGAACCCTCGCAAGTGTAACTTTCTTACCATGAATTACTTGATGATGTCAAACCCATCTAGTAACGGCATTTACCCGGTATGTACGTCTCACATGAAATTTCCACTCATTTGGTTCGCTTTGATCAGAGTCTAGATTTGAAGTTGTTCTGTGGCTATCGCCTACAATCGATGAGCTAGACCGTGAACACTAACCACGGAATTGGTGCACCGGGCCCAATAGCACAATTGACGGGCCTATGTTGACAGACCAAGTTCAAATGGATGTATCAGCCGCCTACCAAGGTGTTTATTTTCGACGGCCTTGTTGTTTACAATTCGCGCCTTGTTTTTGACTTTCTAACCTATGCGGACCACACATACAGACAATGTGTTTCTGTGGCGGAGACGGCCTATGTACATCGTTTTTTGTACCGAATACAACGGTGTTGCACCTTGTTGTTAAAAGTCCGCAGCATAAATGGTGGAAGTCAAACTGTCCACAGTTTCTCATTGGGAAATTCTCAACCGCAGACTCATAGACTCAGCCACTTGAACAACGTCAGTGTTGACACCGAATCTAAGCAGGACTTAACTTGATGAATGAAAGGGTAATGTAGGCGCCATCTCCCTAGGCATTCTGTGCTATATTGACGTATGTAAGCACTACCAGCTCAACCTTTGAGTGTGAAGTTGGCAGGTGTATTTTCTGATCGTCCGAGTTCTGGTTGCGACGATGACATTTATATACTGTTATTAATAACGTTGCCTCCCATTTTTGTGTCCTTGTACATCATTTCACCTGCAAAGTCATGGTGCTGGCACAATGCACTTAAGTCACCTGGAGAAATGTCACCCCTTCAGGGGGTAGTGTGGTTTGTTTAAGGTTCCTCGGGCTGCTTACTGAAAAGCCCTTATGACTCCCGTGGTGCTGACGAGTAACAAAACAATAAAAAGATACCACTAGTTTGCCAACCTTTTGGTTCTTTTAGAACTATGGGGACGAGATTGATCAATTACGTCAATGAGGGACCACGCCAGATATATGTAAATGACTTAGTCTAGTTCCTTTGTCCAGTTTGTTCGAACCTGAGCAATTTACGAAGAACCTTATAATAACTGATGTGGCGTGTGAAAATCATAAAACAGAGCCATCTGTACGTGACTATGTTGGAGAAAAATGAACATGCGATACAGCAGAGGCTGTGGCTGTGTACGCATTTCGAGCCACCAGCAATCGGCAATTTTGGGTAGTTGTGCTACGAGAGACTGAGGATTTCGTTAGCTGTACGATAAGCTGCTTGGTTCGCTTATCAAGTGAGCAGCATGGAACGACGACGTACAAGATGATGCGAAACCATGACATTGAATGTGGCATTCACAAGGTTCATATCCAGTGCCACCTCATGGATCTATCTATTTCTTGTGGGCTATGAGACGGCACTTGTATAATATGGTGTGCTTTTGAGCTTCGATTTCGGTGGTACCTAGGTCCAATGTGTGCTTCTTTGGCTTGATAATTGAACTAGAAAACGATGAGTTTTCGAGCTAGTTTGGTGTGGAAAGAAGGTTACATATAGTATGAAGGAAAAAGTCTGCCCTCTCTGCTGCCGCTGATGATGATAATGATGATTCCGGGGCAAAAGTACCTCTGCAAATAATCGCCACCTTTCTGTATGCCTCCATGCCCTGATGTTAGCTGTTTCCCTTCTGGGTTGATCCCTCTCCGAAACCCTTTAAAATTGAAATTAGCATAACCATTTATCACAACAGCCTGAAAACGCGTGCTGTACCATGGTAGCGTTCCGAGTTATTTTGTGATAAAGACATCGAGCGAAACGTTGCCTTGAAGAAGAGGACTAAGTCCAGTTCAAGGGCTATCGAACAGTTTGTACCGGTAGTTTTCTGCGTATAGTCATTTTGCTCTTAAAAACATAACTTCACGGAAAGCATCGTTGGCTTTCGATTGCAAAGCGGTATGGTGGAGGCATGAATACTGTGAACTGAGTAGCCTGTCTCAAAGAAATTGACAACCCTGAGAATGGTGACACGTTGTGCTGTGTGGCTTGTGATGACTGATTTGTAATATGTTCGGCGATCCTCCGGGTACGAGGTATTATTGCAGGTATCAGTGCAGCTGCAATTTGCAAGTGACAAACTGACACCTAGTTTGGAAGTATATTCCTTTTTGTCATTGAAAATCGCTAAAAGAAATGAAGGCGCTTTATATGTGCTGTTTGGAGCGGATGTGGATTTCTCTTTGAGGTTCGAAATACGGTCACACTGCAAACTGCCTTGTTACGGTGGTGAGTAGCTGGGTCAATGTACATACGGGAAATCCGTTGATTCAAGCTATCTGGCTACCTTTGAACTGAGCCCACTTTTTTTTTCCCTCAAAGCAATGCGGCTTCCGAAGTCTTTGCTTCATTTTTACCATATCACCAACCGTTAATGCTGAGTGTTCTGCGTTTAAGATTCAAAGAAGAAATTTCAGTGTTAGCATAACTACATACCGGAGTATCGTCCACTGACTCTCCAAGGATCTTCGGATGGGACACGGTAACATCTGGTTGCCGCTTCAGTGAACTCATGTGTCCTAACTACGAAAAGTGTCGCTTACCTTTAAGGCTAACATGGACGCTGCTTGGACAAGAATTCATTTGCGTCCGATCCCCGGTGCACGTCCATCCAGGGTGTGTCTTACTGCGTTGCCTGGCAACCTGTATGTATATGAGCTTACACCGGCTGTTTCACAGCCAACATTTATCGTTCTGTGCAAACTATTCCGGAAATCGGAGTGCCGCAGTAAATGTTCTGGTTTTGTGATTTTTCTCAGTAAACGGCCAGTTGTTTTCCATGTTGTGTTTGTTTGAACCAGTGCGTCACAAGTAAGTTTGCTGAGTCAAATGTACAAAGTGGTTACCGCACATCCACCCGTAATGTTATCTGAATAGGTTATTGCAGATCAACCGTCGTATTTTTTCACCCGCAAATGGCGTGTTCGTGCTGGAATGTCATCAATCATTGCTCATTTTGATATTCATTCCTATTCTCAGCTCATGCGACCATTGTCAATTTGAACGGTATGGTAAAAGTGGATCGACAGGGCTGGAAAGCAGAACTTCAGTTTGGAGCGAGCATTCATTCGATTGGTGAGTTTTTCTAGAGCGAATCTCCACCGGTCCGTTGTGTCCAATCATACATTGTATCCCATTTTTTCACATGTTGAGGGAGAACTGATCCGTCCGTCTAGTGTCACACTTCAGATTTCCTTGAAGTACCCTTGTAACGCCTCGATTGTTCATTTCAGTTTTTTTCGCCAAACAGTGTACTTCAGGTTGGGGTCATATGCTTGACGGCTGAGTTGGCGGTCGGGAAAGCCGGTCTGTACAAATGTCAACCATGTTTCAAACACTAATTAGCAGCACTAATGTTGTTCCAAATCTGTCTTTTGTGCGCATTCATTAGCACTTGGATTTCAACAAACAATCACGCAAGTGGAGAATATGTCTGTCCTAGTGGTCTTACATGCTGGCGGCCTAAAATGTTGACGTCTGAATGTCTAATTACTATCAATTCGTGCTGCGAATTCTGCCGCATCTTAGTCTGTTTGTACTGTTGGTGCTACTTCAGAATGTGGAGACAACACAAGTTTGGTACCCATAAACCTCACTATATCCGGTTGTTGGTTAAAACAGCACCGGTGTTTCGCTGTCGTCAAGTCACACCAGTTGATTTCAATAAAACCCTGATGTTGAGCCTCTTTGAGAGTGTCTTTTGGCCAGTTTTTGTTTCAAATGATTGATATTGCATTCCATCCAACTGACATTCGTTCACTTTCCACTTCCACTTGGTGGTAAGGGCCATCGGACAAATTTTTCATATTAGTCGTGCCGACAGATCTCCGACCACTGTCTCTCCATAATACTTTAAGTAACAGCAGTAGTGGTTTTTCGGTGGTCTAGAAACAAGACAAGTGAGTATTGCAACTAAAGTGTGGAATAAATCAAAGTCCCACTCTGAATGATGTGTTTCACATATTCAACTCCACATCCAGTGATACTTTCGAAGACTTCCGAATGGATGCTACATGTTAGGTGTCTCACACAGGAAGACACGCTGTGAAGTGGATGAAATTTTGTTTGCCCATCTTTTCTTTTAAGTGTACATTCCATGCAGTCGTTTATATTGTCTGGAGTGATCAACGCGAGTTTATCAGAATGTACATATCTTCCTCTACCTTACACAAGTGATATCATAACAAACAGCCTCAGGAGCACTAGTGAAAATGGTTACTACTGTAGTATTTGTCCTCTTCATACACTCACAGGAACTTTCCCAATGGTCGTTGGTTTACTCCCACCTCTGCGAGAAAAAATCGCGTGTACATGAAAAGTCACTTACTTGTGTCCACTTATCTCCACCAGTAGTTGATCGTCACTCCTTAAAACAACACCTTGCACCGGAATCTGCTGCTGTAAGAGCTCGAACAACGTCCGGAGAGTCGTGTAAGACGGAAGTACTTCAGGCTTGACGTTGTTCATTGAAGTATGTAATAAGACTGAACAGATCCTGACTACCAACCATGTCTTGATAGTTTTTAGATTTTAGACTGCTGCTGCTTAGCCAGCTTTTGAAGGCTGTGACTGACGTTGTCCAGAATATATCGGCACAAAATTGCCTTGTGGACAACTGCCCGCAATTAAACGGAATGCCAGTGGTATATATATCCTTATGAGCTTTGTGTTTAACACAAGCCCAGTACATCGTGGTGCGCACCAGTTTGTGCGATACGTTGTTTTCTCCGCCTAATCTCCGTACTATGCCTTGGTGGTTGCCGTTCTCTTCAAGACACTTGATGGACTTTTCAAACATTTAGATCAAACGGCATGCCCATGGACAAAGTATCTTATTATTATTTCGCGAATCACACTGTCATTCCAACTATGGACAAGTTGACGTGGGCATCGCCAACCATACCGAGATCTTTAGCCAACATATATCTCTTCGAAACTGTCTATGATAGCATCAGTGTCAAGCAGCGTGTTATTCTGGAGTAACTCATACGCAGTGTTGGTTTAATCGGGCTAGCGTTCGAATCCCTATGTTGATGTTGATGTCTTTTCATGTCCGTACAATCCCTGGGATTGAACTTTGCGGTAAATTTTTCGTGAGAAATGGGGAAATAACCTTTAATTGTTGAGTCGGGGAAGGCTTCTTCAATATTTCCCTTGGCGGCCTCTTCGTAATCAATAGGTGTGTGAGCAGCTTTAACATGTGATTGATAGCAAGAAGTCCGCCATTTTTTTTATTAAGGGATAGGTGTGTGAGAGGTCGGCAAAGGAAACGCACTTAGAGGCTATGACTCCATCAGCAATCCAGTCAGCGGTGACCTCCAGTTTCCTCATACTTTGGCAATGGAAAAACCAAGCACATGCTGTGTAACGATTCCGTTATCGAATAGCAAAAGACTTGGCCATCAGCTGGAATAACCGTGTTGATGTGGTCCAATGGAATGAGACGGTGGGCTCTGACTACATGTTTTATACGGACGTCGTACGTGTGATGAACCCGATAGTTGAGTTGCGATTCCCCCTTTCTTGATTGCACATTCGTGGCAATTGTCCGTTGTGTGTACCGTTGACTACCCCTAGCTCATATTTCAATTTTATGACGCCCAGACACGAATCACAGAAACGTGATTATGGCCTTTCACACGACTCATTATCCAGTCACCACAAATTTCGGTATTTGCTTTTCAGTGAGGTACTTCTCGGGTTCATAATATGTATTGTTCTCTGTGTTGTTACCTGGAGGTGCGGTGTACTGTATTCGTCATAAACGGTATGCCAAAGTACAGTATCATATATATATATATATATATATATACGATAGTCCCAAGGTAGGCTCTCGAAGCATGCAAATATACGACTCTCCTTGTTCACGTTTTTTTTAGTAAGAGATTCAACATAGGTACTTAAATGGCACGTATGGCTCATCCAACAGGAAGATGGAACAGATGGGCACTTGCCATTGGCTCCATGTTGGGTGAGGTGGAATTTATTACCGGAGATTCCCCCTATCGTACAATCTGGTTGGCGTAAGGAAATGG